GAGACTAATATTCTTTTTGTAGTCCTGATTCTGGGTGGAGGCTTGGCTTGGACATGTATAATTAGACTAGCTATAATGATGAGCAAATACTTCCATGGACCCCTAGCTGGGCATACAAGCAGGAAGAGCAGAAGACGGGCAACCTTGAAGAACACCACCAAACCTGAAGAGAACAACCAACCCATCGCCCGCTCACATGACTCTCCACTGCAACTACCTACCTAGTACTAGGTACGGAGTACTCCGTACTTTATCATTAACACCACTTCCTACCTAATGACCACCTTACCGCTTCCGCTAATCATCAACAAATTAGCTCCTCAAAACATCCATGCTAGACCCATTCGTTGACTCAGATATCCCTGCTGCAGGACTTTCGTGATTCACTGACACAAGAGCCATGTCTTATCTTGACACTTCTAACCAAGCTTTACCAAGCAAAAACAAGCCTTGGGTGAAATACTAGGTCTCAAGCATCCTCACTTCCAGTCAGACAAAGTCCAAGCGCCAACACCGGGTCATTCACAATACCAACCCGTTCCGATTATCTATCTGTCACACCCTGCAAGCATGAGCGAGCGTGACGTTACAACTACCTACGGTAGTAACCGTGACCGAGGTTCTGGAACACGCAACGAGAGCAGACAAGATAGGATACAATCGGCTGTCTGCCTATCTTGATTTGTCCACCCTGGCCGTGTCTTATGGCTGCCTTCAAATCTCTACAATTAGTATAATGCTAACGTCGTTATTCCGAAAGGTGCTACGCTGGACACGTTCCACCGGCCAAGTGGGGACTTCTGGCTCGATTACGATTGCAGTTGCATCCCTTCGCGAACATGAAATGTACGACCGTCAGCTACGCTTCAATGAAAAAAATTGTCTACCTCATTAAGAGCTCCGATATCGTGTTGTTGCAATCTCGGTAACATGACGCGAAGGCCAATAAAAATGGATACGATACAAATCAAACAATAGCACACCTCCATCATCACCTCGGCATGCTCCAATCCTTCTCCAGGGCTGCCAACGAGCTCTGAGACCGACCCTCAGTCGTGATATTGAGCATTAGGAAGAAAAGGATAAGCATGTTGAGAGCAGCGTTAAGCATGCGACGTTGCCAGCCAAGCCAGTGACATTACAGACAAGATCAGGACCATGCCTAGCTCACTGCCTAGGTTGACGTGAGTGCGCCTCCAGAGAAGACCCCTTTCCGCAACATACACGACATTTATTTTCTTTTTATTATCCGCCCCCCTTTTCTCCCCTCTATCTATTGAAATGTGGTGGTCGGCAGGGAATTCAGAGTAATGTTCTTATCATCCTATTGGACTATGCTGAAGGAATAGTGTCGATTCACCATCAGCCTCGTCAGCATTGCGATACGGTTCGATACTGTCAAACAAACAAGTGACGAGCCAAGCCTTTGTTTCCACTTACCAAGAAACTAACGTTCTCTTTATCCGAGTGGACTTCCGGTCAAGTGCTCCGTGCTTCCCTCTGGCACACCAAAGCTATCTTATTTCCAAAGGTACGCAGCATGATGGATATTACCCACACCCAATGGTACTTTCTCTGTTGTCTGAATGTGATTGTTTCTTTCCCAAAGCCTCGCCTTCTTCCCCTCTCCGAACCTGCGCAGTTGCATCTATCTTCCAAGCATCTCCGTCGGGAAACCGTAGCACCAGCCGCACCACAACCAGGACGAGCCCGATAACTAGACATAGTGGCACGCTTCGTCACCCCCTATCAATCAAGTCCAGATGCAATCGCAAGCCTATCACTAGGCTCGAGCCAGACATTCAACTTATCATCCTCATTAGGACGCTCCAGCGGCCAGCCAGAGCTACAGCTGGGCATGTTGGTGGACATTATTAGCCGCATCTGTGCATTTCTCCGTGTAGAGAGGGGCTATTTGATACTTACGTATCAATCAGAATCACGGCAAAGACTGAGACTCCATTAACCGTGTCTCCGGACCGGGTCCGGACCTCTCCTCTCCCTTCGTTCTCCCTGATCTCCCCGGTTTCTTCCTTTCTCTTGGCAGCGGTGCTTGGCAGATGCCGACCCAAGTCTAGACTAGACTGCAGTCTTTAGGCTGCAATGCAAGCGAGGGTCCGAGGTGGACGTGGTGAGTGGTGAGTCTCATTCAGCAGCCCCCCAACACCTCGGCCTGCCGCAGGCCCGCGGGGTCCTCTGTTTTGGTGTTTTGACGGATGGACCGGGTCACGGTCCGTCCCTTTTTTTTTTTCTTCGCAGTGGACAACCGACCAGTCGACTCAACCGGCAGTCACTACTATTCCGTGCTCTATTAAAGTTCGATTCGTGGATAGTTACGGAGAATTAATTTGTCGTGCTATGAGATAGGCAACGCGTTCTTACTCAACACTTTTTCTGTCTGGTAGGAAAGCCGACTCTACCACTACCGATGTGGTAGAGCTCAACATTTATCGCCCAGACAAACAGATGCGAGCGTTGTTCGAAGCTTAGGGCCAAAAAACAACCACAAAATCTTCAGCCAGCCGCCGAAAGTAGAGCCCGGGGAGCATGGGTAACAAACACCTGGTAGGTTCACCCTGTTAATGACAACATAGAATTATCAATCGCATTGTTCAAGAATCGACCAAGAGCACCAGTCAAATCCTACTTCTAGACACCACAGCAAGCCCACCAATAATCCCTTCCTCTTCGAGACTCTTGCCCAGCTCCTTCCCCCGCCTCGCCGAGATATGGATAGACGCCCAGCCAAAGCCAATGAGTCAGTCGAGGAGCCACGCACCTCGACTCTGTTTTTCCAAGCATACATACTGGATTGATGATGTTACCTTATTGCATGCTTCCCTATCTTTCTAGCGCAATCGAGGACAAGATATCCAGTCAGTGTCATCACTCTATCTTCTCTGAGCTCTGCAGGAAACCCACGGCCAGACTCTGCAGAACAATCTACTTCCAACCATTCGCGTCAAGAACGGTAAGCGCCCATTTCACGCAATTGCATATTTCCCTTCTCCCGGACTAGGGTCTCCCCTCTTTCTAATATTATTGATAAGCTTAACCTACCTTTTGAAACTCGTTCGGGGCTAGCAAATGCGCTAGTACTGGGTTCCTTCTGGGTCTCAAAGACAAAAGACGGCGTCGCTGATGGTTGTTTATGACGTTGATGGATCATCACCTGTGTGTCCCTTTCAGCCTTTGGCATGATAACTCAGTAGCTGGCTCACCTCAATGGTCCGAATTTGGCGCGGATTGTGAGCCATCGTCTTAGTCGAGGTTTAGAGCCCAGTGGCGTTTGGGACGAAGGTACAGCATATTCCTCCACCACCGAGTCAGGTACAGTCCTGTTTCGCCGTTCACCTTCATGCGGTATCGGAGAAATTCCGGGCTGATTCAGCTAGGGTCATAATGCCCGGGGTTTCTACTCTGTTTTGCTGCTGAATTTCGCATTCTGATCAGATCGAAACAGGGCAAGGATCGCCGACAATCTGAGTCAAGGCAAAGGATTCTTTAGTTCAAGCCAAAAGCCCAAACGGAGACACTGAATTAACCGAGTATACATCCTGCCGACATTACTTTCCCCCGATAAAGGTAATATTCGATGATAACAGCACAGGTCACCCTGCAACACCAGCAATAACAGCAGCATATTCGGTGTCTTACTACTACGCAGGAAGCGAGCCCCCCAAACGTCCTTCCGGTCTCGCCGGTTCTACATGCGTGGGGAAGGATATGGGCAGCCCAAGAAAGAAAACGCAAGCAAGTGGCGACCGGACCTGCTCCGGAGAGCGGAAAGGAGAAGAACTCCTTGGCCCTGTAAGGTATCCGACGGTGGAGTCAACAGACTGACATACTGAGCTCTATTGATCTCTATCATGCAGTATTATACCCTTTCCCTCCTCCATGCCTCCCTCCTCCCCCCCACACACTATTCCGATGCAATATTCCTCCTGCAGTAAGCCGGCAACATCCCCACCCCTCGAGACGAAGATGTATCCAGCGGACTTCCGGAGCATAACAGCCCTCTCAATATACCTACCGTAAACTATTCTTTCCCTGAACCTTTACAACCGCCTCTGGCTCTTCTAAGGGATGCAATCGGCACACCTGTTCTCAGTTATGCTCAATGCAAAAGAGGGGGTGGGGTCTCAAGCCAAGGAGAGGGGCAACTGCACGGTAATCGTTAGTCTGCTATGCACGTAACTCCTGTACCCACCGCGATAGGCAACTGTGTGTGTGTGTGTGTGTGTGTGTGTGTGTGTGTGTTTTCCTCCTGCCTTGATTGTTCAGGCGTGTACTTAAGTTTTTTTTCTCAAATCTATCAGACAATATCTATCTGTATGCCCAGAAAGAATGACGAACACTCGGACTAGAGGAAAGTAAGAGAAGGAGTGTGTAAGCGTTACGTTTACTGAGACAAGGAACAACTTTCCCACTCGCCGACCGGCTTTCCTCGGAAATGTATGATAAAATAACAACATCACTTTCTTAGACATGAAATACCTATTCAGTAGGAGGAAGCGTACTTCATCCGGCCGGTGGTGCAGTGTAGCTTTGAATGGTAGGTAGGTCAGGTAGGTCAAAGAATAGCGGAAATGCAAGAGATTTTAGTTCAGTTAGTTCAGATGTAGTTGGTGCTATTAACTTATCTAATCTATTGATTTCTAGCCAGCTAGCCTCGAGAAAAGAAATTTATAGGCTGGGGGGATGAAAGTTGATTTCATGGTGCATGGTAACCCCCCTCTCCTTTCTTTCTAACTACGCATTCTCTCTAGTCCACTTTCCCATTCCCCACTCCCGGTCTTCCTCCCCGCGGGCCCCGCTGGATGTCGTTTCGTCGCAAAGCCAGACGCCGAACAAGATCCCGAAAAACAAAAAACAACATAAAATGAAATTAAAAAGTCATTGCACCGGGATATAGTATAGCGCCTAGTAGATATAGGGAAAGAGAAAACCGATTTCCAAAGATGAGAGACAAAAAAAAGACAAAGAGGGATACTTCCGGCTCATGCCGCCGCCGGCAAGTCGTTGTTGACCCTGATGCAGGCTAGGATCATCCGGGTGATGGACGGCAACGATGACATACTGCCACTACTGCCCATCTCGTCTAGGATCAACCACTGCTGCAGCGTCCGCGGACGGGGAGGCATAGCGCCGCTCAGGAGGTTCCCCGTCCAGGGCCGCAGGGATTGCGCGCGTGCGATCATCCACTCCTCCTCGCTGCGCGCCAGCCACATCTCTTCCGGAGCCGGTAGGGGCAGTTGCAGTAGTATTTCAGCTTGGAAGAGGGGGTAAGAGTAGACCACTCCCCCAATTGAAGAAGAATGGCCATGAAGATGATGTGTCCTCGTCGCCAGCGTGTGGATGATGTGCACGAAATAGATGTTTCGGCGCAGCGACTCGCTGAATTTCCAGCGCGTCCAGTCGGTTTCTTCTTCGTGAGAGGTCTGGAGAGGACCCCCGTAAACAATGCATAGGCGCTGGACCAGCTGGCAAGGACGTGTTAGGTCAGCACGCGACACTCTGGCTAGTCGGTTCTGGGCAATGTCAAGGATTATCAAGTGTACACACCTTGCTAATAGATTGAAGAGCTGGGATTGCTGCAATCACCCCTGCTCCGTGGTTGGAAGGGTCAGAGCCCTGCCTTGCACTAGCCAGATTGGGTAGACAGGTATCGTCAATCAAATCGAGTATCTGGTAGATGCAGAGGGTGTGGAGGGGAGTAATACAGCTCTCCATCCCACGGCGGAAATGGTCGAAATCGCCGGCGCCACCGTGAGCCCTCTCGTAAGATTCCGCACGGGTGACATAAGCTGACAGAGTAGCCAGCGTATTTTCCGGAGGCTCTTTCAGCGTTTGCATGGCTTCAGCATGCAACTCGGGATGTAAAAACGGGGAGATCAGCTTCTGCTGCAGTGCAACCCCAGGATACTCTCTCAGCAGGCTGACCATGTCCTGTATCACATCATCGGCACTACTACCAGAGGAATTGCTCTCTTTGGGGATAAGACACTGGCCAAAGAGAGTGCCCGACACTGTCTCGGGATATGCAGTTAGAGGCAAGATCTCATCCTCATCATATGTCGAGAATCCCTCGCTCCAAGCATATTCAGTATAGGCAGAAGATAGCGATGCCATCGTAAACCCATTATTCAGCGAATACGTGTCGCTCGAAAATGTTGCTGGCGTCGGCGGCATCATGGCCGCAGGTGATGATGCGGTAGTTCCATGCTGCGAATGATATGGCAACCGTGATTGGTGACCAAAATAGTCATCGATGAGGCCAGGGAGGTGGTCATTCAATTGATAGGCGTCAGGCTGCGCAGACAAATAATCAGAGCCAGCAGGTGATTCGTAGGGCCAGTGAGTTTGCGTCGGAAATACGGAGCTGTCACCGTGGCCGTGAGTCAAAAAGTCCACATTGGTAGAAGTGGCGGGACTCCAAGGAGACCTCGAACTGTCATCAGGATTAGTTGAGGTATCCAGAGGTGGTGCTGACAGCGCCCACGGCCCATTTCCAGGAGCCAGAGTCAGCGGAATATAGAGAGAGGCGAGGGGTGAAGTGGTGGCCTGGTCAGAGGTTTCCTGAGGCATGACAGACTCGGATGCTGTTACAGGAACGCAGGATGCCGGATAAACGCAGGGCCTTCGACTTTGTAGGCACCGGCTGCAAGAAGGTCGAGTCATAGAGCAACGCAGCTTCTTCTGAGCACAGGCATCACAAGACTTCCGCTTCGACTGACGTTCCTGACCAATGTTCTTGATGCATCGACGACGGTGCCTATCCCGCAAATCACCTGCCGTGCTATCAGTGAGAATACTTCGGATACCATTCCGCCTGTTTGTCACAGTGGAGCACAAGACAAGGGATCACGACTTGATCGATGGAAATGTGGGGAGAAGAGAAGGGTAGCCTACGTCGACTGTATGTCTTGTTGCAGATTCCGCACCGGAAGTCCCCGTCAGCTGTAGGCTGTGAGGAGGGTGGCGGGAAACATTGATTGCTGTTCAGTTGTCTGTGCTCTTTCTCTTCGGTGGGATGCATGCTTCAAGGAGAAATGAGGTGCCTGGGGATCTAGCCTAGCGTAGGTAATGGTGGGGACGATGGGTCAACAAGTGTTGCAGTGGTATGTCAAAGATGTAAAATGGGGAGATTAGCTGATTTAAAACCAACGGTGGTCATGTCCTGAAGAACTGTGTAGACAAGGCTATCTGTCGCAATTCAGAAGGACCCTCTGGGGGAGGACAGGTGAATAAAGTATTGCCAGTCTGAGATCTCTCTTGGCAGACTATAATTGACTATGCCGATTAGTCAATTCTCTCTCTCGTCTTATCCGGCGAAACTTGTTGAAGCAGAAGCGAATGGATGGAAGGATTGCAATCCCTTCTTTTGCATGTCTTGCACATGCAAGGATAAGAGAAGATACCATAATTCGGACCATTGACGATACGGGAACCGTCCGAAACTCTAGTAAGGTAATTCCTGTTAAGGGTTTTAATTATCGCAGATAAATTCTGGCTGCCTGAGGGACCATAGAGGGGGCAGAGGATGGTGGGGGAGGAAAGAGAGAGGGGGGAAGCCTTAGGCCCAGGGGGGGAGTCAAAAGGCAGATTGAAGTCAGTGGATGAATGAATGAATGAATGAATGAATGAATGAATGTACGAGAGCGAGGGACTGCATGAGTGCCTCAGTGCCTCAGTGCCTTAGCGCCTTAGCCTTGTGCGTGCGCTGAGGATAGGCGAGGCGAACCGCAAATGGCGCGACAGCTGCTATACATCCTTTCGATCTGATATTGCTCTGGGCTGCGGGTGATTGTCCCTCGTTAGGGGGTCTCTGCTCCAATCAATCAGTCTCCGTGTCCGGCTCGGGTTCTTTTTCACCAAGAGACTTAATATGTAAGATAAGTAATAATATTAGTATTCAATGGACTGTACTCACGGATGCAGAAACGCCACCCCGACCGGGGATCGTCCCTGCCCAGGCCTGACTAGACTAGTCTGAGTCGTCATGTCTCTCATCAGCACTGAGTACGGAGTTGAGTAAGTTAGCAGTTTCTGTTATAGGATGGCTTTCCGATCGAATAAGGTTAGCCAAATCTCCAGCCTGCCAGGTGGAGCCTGGAGCCTGCCAATTTGCGTACTTTTCGAGGCCACATGTACTGCAACAAAATAAAGGATTCCCAACTGCATGCAAATCCTCAAATCTCCCCTTTAGCAAAAGGAAGCTAATGCACCCACTAACCCACCTAGCGCTTCCTGCGGGAGCATCCATTGGTGTTGACGCTGGTCCATTCTGCATTTCCTCTGGTTCTAATTATTTAATTCGATCAAAATCAATTGAATCAGTCTTGTTGGACTGCAAGCCTGCTAGCTTGCCTCCGTTTCAGGTTTTACCGTTGATCACGGCGTATTTGTCCTACCCCCTGCTGGTACTTGACGAACCTGAATCCTTCAGGCCGGAACCTGGCACTGTGCTGTCAGTGGCATGGAGGCCCACCAAGCTAATACACTGCATGTTTATTTCCCGAATCTTCCGCAGATAATTCTGGTTATCGAGGTGGATGCATCGGGGGAAACGTGGCTTCGGACAAGCAGTACGGGGTAGTAGGAAATGATTAACGATGAGACACCGTAGCACAGCAGAACTCCTTCATCGGCTGCGCCGATAGGATTCTGGAGCCATCTGACTTACATGAACCCTGCGTAAGCCACAGATACGAGGCTTATCCCTGGACACACTCTGGTAGACCCCTGATTGGTGGGCAGTGCTCAGGGTTGGTTTGGAAAAGATCGAGAGCCTCACACATGCACTTGATTAGCCAGAATCGAAAACGTCATCCGTACTGCATCTTCGCTTAAATTGACCCTGGAGTATATGTCACTGCAACAACACACTCTGTACACACTTTCTCTCTGGAAGAGGTATACAGACAGTCTTAAGTTGTTGGACGGAGCTTGAAGGATCGGCGGCTGCCTTGTGAGATTTCAATCGTGGTAGTAAATTCTCTCACCTGCCATTGCTGGTTTAGTGGTCTTTCTAGAGCCCCCCAATTATAGGTTTCCAGACTCCAAAGGCCGCAGCCACCAAAGTACGGCGTTAACCGACTAAAGGATAAAATCTTACCTCAGCACTTGCATCCACGCGCGGAAGAATCAGAAATCAACGTTTACCCACGCGATGTCGATCTTCAGGCTCAATGCAGATTAGATACCTTGCATATATTCACGGTTAGGGGCCGAAACCGTACATCGATCATGCTCTCCGGTATCGTCATACTGCGTTGTCGCATGGCTGGTCTTTGTGACATCGAATTGATTAGAACGTCCAGTCGTTTCCACTTCCAGGGGAATTCGGCACTTGGCACAATGACCTTCAAGAGCCTGAAAATGTTCGGCATTGTAAATGTACAATTCAGAAGTAAGTCGAGATAATCCGGACTGGATTTGTGAACTCCGCGGGCTATGGCTGGCTCAGGTTCAACCCAATAAGGTACTGTACGTGCACCAGGTCGGCTCAACCCCTATGCGTTTCATTCAGATCATGTACCGGTACTTTTGGGATGCGAAAGCGGTCCTTCTAACATGGAGAACCCACTTTTTGCCCAGTGGGGAACAATACCTCCACATTTGTCGATGATCATGTCCGACAACGCCTTCCAAAGTAGTTTCGGCCGGCCACTGGAGTAATGCTCCAGCCTGCATCACGGTTAGTGGATACCTCCAGCAGCGGCGAGTCTACAGCAAGCCCATAGACTAGTGTATGTGCTGAAGCATGTTAGAGTTGGAATAAGTCCGCGCGCGCAGACCTCCACTCACTTGCAACTGCAGGAGAGCTAAAAGCAGAATGGATCAGTTTATCCCATCAATGAGTATCATTGCTGAGCTGAAGAGACGGTTCTGGTCTGCGGCGCACTCCGAGGTCTGCATGGTTTTTAGCGCCGAATGAATGCAGGCTTTGGTCTATACCGGAAAGAGTCATTGAAGAATATCCTGTGCAGGTTAGCCAGCCAGCCCAATCCAAATGCGTTGGTCTGGTGTTCATTCGTCTTAAGTGCCGAGATCGTTAGCAAACATTTTGCGACAGTCCGCCAAGTAAGGCCAACAATCAACGTCATGGCTATTGCTTGAAACTTGAATACTGTCTGCTTACTTGTGACTCGGCTGAGCTTGCTGGGCGAGATACCGAATTCAAGGCCTGTTGAAGGCCATCCAGTAGGGGGACAATGGGGAAAGCTACCCGTCATGGTCCAAATCAGATGTGATTATGGCGTCTCATTAATCATACACTAGACTAGAGGTTTCGTGGCTTAGATACTCACTGCGGCCTGAAACAAATTCGAATGCCATTCTCGTCGGCTCCACCGCAATGATGCTCAGTAGATGCAAACCGAAACTGCTTTGCTCGGTAAATCCGGGACTGAGGCAATGAATGTTTCTGCGAAATTCTTCATCAGATCGAACATATTCCATTAGACCATCGAAGTTGATTGAGTAAATGAGTTATCCAATAGGAGGCATGGACTAGAATTGGCCAAGGACACTGATCGGTCTAATTTCCAACATTGACCGTGCCTTAGTGGAGTGCCCGCGGACTTTCACATTCCGAATCCGTGATAATCACTTGGAGGGGCAGGTCTAGGCAAAAGCGAGGGGGTTTGAGCTCCAGAAAACACAATGACTCTTACAAACCTCTCATTGGCTCGGGATAGCCTTCAAGCCACAATCTTTTGTTTTCCATTTTTCCATTTTTTTATTTCTTATTCCCCTTTTGCCGAACGGTTGCACGCACTGAAATAGAGAGTTGTACGGGAGAACGTCGAGGCTGCACACTGGTATGTGCCTGGAGATGGAACGGAGGCTAATTAAATTCCGCGAAGTAAAGCAGACTTTTCCGTTCGATGCCGGAAAGCTTTCCCTCAGGTCCTTAGTTGCCTCATATTTGTTTTTTGTGCCGCATTGCATCCAGGGATCCCGTATGTGTCTAGACTGTGAATATAGTCCTTAATATGCCCCACCGGCTAAAATATTACTGCCGTAGTGTTGTCCAAGTGGGTGGCCAGCGCCAGCGTCAGTGTTGGTGGCGCTTCGAGAAATAGGCGCCAGGACCACTTGATGCCAGGTAGGCGGTCCTTCTTCCCAATGTAGAAGAGAACATCACATTTCCAAGAGGAGTAACTGCCCTACCACGAATTCGTCGACTTGGTGCCTTGGTGCTCTATCCGTCTCTGGTGGGGGTGAAGCCTAAGTTGTTTTGTTCGGATCGATAGGTCGCGGCCAGAGATGCCTCATGATGCTTGCTCTGCATGAGCACCACTCGTGATTGATCCAAGGGGTGCATAGGGATAAGCTATCGGCGATCAACTCAGTTCTCAGACCGTCTTCAAGCGGCCTCATGGCCTCAATAACAACCTTGATCGAAGGACTTTGTCACCGGAAGGACTTGAATGGGCCTATGACACGCACTCGATTGAGTAAATCCAGAAGCGACAAATCCATGGCTACAGATCCGAATGCCTCAGATGAATACCCAGCATCTCTCGCTTCTCCCGGAAGAGAGGCCGGGTAATACTGGTGGCATCGGGAGCTTGGTTCTCAGTCTGTTGATCCTCCTGAGCAGCAAGTCGATCGTGGTCGATGAGGAGAAAGCCAAGATTTAGTGTCCATTGGCAGGTAGAGGAAACAGGCTGCTGCTGATTTATTTGCCGTTCGAGGCACAACGTGGGCCTGGGCATGAGTAGTCCGGCGGACCCTGCGGCACAGACCGTCAGATGAGAAGTACAATAGAGTTCTTATGCCACCTTGAAGACCCTTGTCTGTCTCACCTACCAGCGAGACTGCCAAGTCTGAGTGGCCACATTTCGGCTTCAGCTGGCGTAATCATCTGCCTTCTCATTATACAGTGAAGGGAAGAGTGGTGCTCATTCAAAGCCTTGGGTGACATCTGTCGACCTTGGCGACAAGAAGTCGAGTAGAAGTCACAGCACACCACCTTGGTAGCGAGTTGATCGTTATCTGGTAGGTTCAAATAATTGGTGAACAATTGAAATGACATTGATTATCGACAGATAGTGACTCCGTTCCGCGGACCTTGATCGTGCAAAATATGGTTTGCTGTGCTCCGTGTGAATGAGATGAGATGAGATTAGATGAGGGGAGAGGAGAGGAGAGGGGATGATGAACAGCCCAGCTGGAGCTGAGATGGGCTTCTCCCACCGAAATGGGAGAGCCTTCAGTGACTGACTTACCCGCCGCAACAGTAAGCCGGCCCCTCCGACTCCGGAATGATTGTCGACACTTGCAACCAGCCAGACATTCAGACATTCACTCTATCATCAAAATCTGAAGGGCTTCTTCTTACTCTTTCCTGAATTGGAAGCTTGTTTTCAGACTCTTGGGGAGCTTTACGTGGTTCTGATCCGGGTAAGATCAAGCTGTCGAAAGGGGCGGCGAGAAGTGTCTTTGGCCCGACCGGCAACCTAATCCTCCTTGCGAAGCATCCAACAATCCTGCAGTCACTTGGCAAGAGTATGTCATTAAAAAGCGCTCTGCAAGCTGATCAGTGGTCAGATAACGTTCCTTGATGTTTGTGGGTAGATGGGGCTCATGGCGTGAGTGCAGAATATTCGCTATAAGTTCAAACTTGAAGCGTCTGGTGCTGCGCCAAATATGCACTCATTATGCTTCACCTGTAGTCGCACCTGGAGCAGCGCAGGCCATATCAAGCCTCAATATCATCAGCCTCACACTGGACTGTTATACTTGACTGCCTCAATCTTCTCCACGCCACTTCCCACAATATGAGCAAATGCTGCCTGTTCGTTCACTGAGCATCCTTATTGTTGAACATAACATCATTCCACCCTATTCGAAAACAGAAATACTCGCTGCGTTCGACTCCATGCAGCACAAAGCTTCGCTCAAGGACGGTTCAATGGCAAAGTGCCCATCATTGAATGTGACTAGAATGGACGTGTACTATGTTTCCTCACGTCCATTTGTGTCCGATGAAGTTGCAGCTTCCTCCGATCACAAACGGTTATCTGCATCTGATCTCATCACTATACACTATATCCAACGAAATCAGCAATTCTTCGTAAGAACAGCAATTGTCTTTTATCTCGAGTTTTCTGTCAACAAGAGCATACAACACAGCACTTTGACTCCTGGATGTGTTTTGTCGCTCTGCCCTTGGACCACTGGTTATCAAGCTCAAACCCATTGAAAGACTCTTAATTGGCACGGAGTGTTCGACATGGTTTTCTTTGGGTCTTGTGGCACATACTAAGTAGACCTAAGTCCAATGTACGCTGCAACGAAGACATCACCCAGCTTTATTCCGCGGTCGCTATTCGAAATCTTACGAATGCTCGCTAGACCGGTAGCATACTCAGCGCTTGCACTGGGCTAGGACACTTATTCATTAACCTTTGCTGTGCTATCCATATGTTGTGGCGGTACGGAGATCTCGGAACGCATCCTCGGTTCGAGGCCCGGCTTTGATCGGTGATGGGCGCTGACCGCACATGTCACTTATCCAGTGGCATGGCTGGTAGCATGGAACAAGTCAATAGTCTGGCTTGATGCAGGAGAGCGGGTCAAAGAGTAATATTATTCGGCATCACCCGGTGCGATTGGGTACTTTCCAGGGACTTGCAATGGGCCCTGCCCGCGTCTGTCTATGGATGACATCTCTTGAACGGTGAATGTATCCGGTCTGTTTAAACATTGCCATTCGGCGAGGGAGCTGGGAAAGGGGCTATTGTCTTCACATTTCACAGCTCTGTGTATGCGACCTCAAATAGCCCATATAATACTTCATTCTCAGAAGCCCCTTCTGCTCTCGATGCTTTTTCGGCCTTGCCACCGGCCATGATCTTCGAACCGCCATCTAGGGCCCCTGTTCCCCCTACTGATGTCCTGTCTTACAGTTTCTCGGACCCGATCTATGACAGGACTGTCCCAGTAAGGACACCACCTATGATTCTTCTTTTCGTCCGGCTCTGACCTTGGCAGATCTATGTGGATGTCCATCAACCCTCTCGGTTCATTTGCTACGACCAAGCCCGTCGCATCGTCCGCCAATTGATTGCTGGTCTTCATGCCTGAGGCGTGCGGAAGGGAGACTGCGTCAATATTCATTCCTTCAACGATGTACTGAAACCATTGCTTGCGCACTGCACACCACTTGAGCATGGCTGAGACCCCACTAGATTTACTACCCTATGCTCGTGCTCGCCATTGTCGGTATCGGAGGCATTTTCACAGGCTCTAACCCGGCTTATACACCTTTGGAGCTCAAGCACCACCTACAGACCGCGCAGGTTCGCTTTATTATCACCGAGCCTGAGCTCTACGGTCCTATCCGAACAGCTGCGCATGATCTGAACATCGTCTTATCACATGTGCGCATCTTCAACACCAGGGGAGAAACAATTCCCGAAGGGACCGTGTCCTGGACCGATCTGTTTGAGCATGGCGAAAAGGACTGGGCGCGTATCCACGATGGATTCATAGTCGCTCAGACTACAGCTGTTCGGCTATTCAGCAGCGGAACAACAGGCCTGCCCAAAGCCACTGAAATCACTCACACAAATCTGATTGCGCAACATGAGCTCGTGTTCGAGTTGCATCATCGACCATATTGGGTAATTGGCCTTGTATTGTACTACACCAAACTTGATTCCAAAGTAACATAAGCATATTTGAAAAAGGTTTCCCGCGTTGTGCCGACCCCTCTCTTCCATGCTGCCGCCGTACCTTCCACCCATTTTGGCAGCCTCAAAGCCGGTCACACCAACTACATCATGAGGCGTTTCGACCTCTTACTCTTCCTGGAAACCGTGGAGAAGTACCATGTGACCGACTTGGCGGTTGTTCCCGTTGTCATCGCCATCATCATGAGCCCGTTGTCCTACAAGCGGGGGTACTTGAGGTCTATCCGGACGAGTTCGATCGGCGCTGCGCCCATTGATCGAGGAACACAGAGGCGGCTCCAAGCGTTGCTGGGTGAGGGGGCACCTTGCACGCAAGTCTGGGGAATGACGGAGACAAGTTGCATTGCAACTACGCTTCCGTACCCAGAGCAGGATTACACGGGATCTATGGGTCGCTTGATTCCGAACCTGGAAGCTAAGTAGGCATTTCTAACCTTCTCTCCTTCATCTATGAGATGTCATGGCTCACTTGTGCTTTAAACAGGTTGATAGACCACGCGGGAAACAACATCTCCGCATACAACGTTCGCGGCGAGATATGTGTCCGAGGTCCAACCGTAACACCAGGATACTTCAACAATTTCGCCGCGAACAAAGAATCGTTCGATGAAGACGGATGGTTTCACACTGGTGACATGGGATACTGTGCAAGGGAGACAGGGAAATGGTACATTGTGGATCGAGAGAAAGAGTTGATCAAGGTCCGTGGATTCCAGGTCGCTCCACTGGAGCTAGAGGCTGTGCTCATATCACATCCGCTCATTGTTGATGCGGCTGTCATTGGTATCAAGCATCTGTTCCCAGGGACGGAATTGCCCCAGGCGTATGTGGTGCGACGACCAAGAGATGGAGATCGGCTCACAGCAGAGAATGTGAAGAGCTATCTCGTGCAGAGACTAGCGAGCTACAAGGCTTTGACGGGAGGTGTCAGATTCGTGGATGCAAAACCCAAGAATGCGAGTGGAAAGATCTTAAAGCGGCTGTTGAGGGAACAGAGCCAGAAGGAGGTCGAGGCCGGTTGGAGACCGAGGTTGTAGGGGAGTGTGCTACTGGTACCTGATTTGTAGGAAGCACTTCAGTCACAATATACATCAAGCATTCATTCCATCATGAAGGTCGAAGGAATAATCAGACCACTCTGTACTCTCTGTCCAGTCCTGTGGAATTCGCATTCCAGGCGTTCACTCCGAAACTCGCAAGTGGAAAAAGTACAGCAGCAGGCGGTGTGGTTTTCTGCCACCATTTTATTTGCCGCCCAATGCCCGGAGCAATCCGCACTTTCTGCCGTGTCTCTCCGCTATTATGTGCCAGTCTTTGCAGTCACCTCGATTGTGGAACTCCAAGAATATACCACCTTGATGTCTTTCTGATGCTTCTCATATGACCTCTTTCAGGTTACAAATACACTTAAAGTGTCAATATCGTCAGCAGGACATGATTGCAGATCTCAGCAAATGATATCATCAATCTATATCGAGTCAGTCCGAAAGTGCCGATTTCGGCACTTTCGGATAGTTCCAGATGCTATATCATGAGCTCATCTGCCTCAGCACTGATCAACAAAAAACACACATCGTCGCCATGATGAGTCTATGCAAACAACAGTCCGCGCGAATGAGTCACAGTCTAGCTCGTGGTCATTCCACAGTCGCAGTACTCTATCAAGCCCTCGAGCCACCTGTTATCAACGGTGCCCGAAAGCCTCGCAAGCCTGGTGGTAGAGTAGCCTTTCCACTCACTGTCCACTTCCATTGTGAAACTGAAATTGACACCTTGTTGCAGGCTATCAAGACTCAGGCGCAGACATTGCTTATACGCTTCGTAAGCACGGTGTCCGCGTCCTCACCCCCACGGCATCTCCGAATCCTTCAATACAGGAAGGCTGGTGCTTCCCCGACACCGAAGAAGGCATCCTCTCCGCCGTACAGCAAGGTGCTACACACCTCTGGGCCAATACGGTCTTGTTCTCCTCGCATCCACTGCAGGTGTCGAAATCACTGACTTCCAACGACCCTCTTTATGTCGTCGGACAACCCCCAACGCTGGTGGAGGACTTTGACGACAAAGCCTATTTGAACGAGCAGCTCCGCAAACACGGCTCTTTCACTCTCCCGCAGTCCTGGCTTATCCACGCCACGGACAATATTACCTCGATTCTGGACTCTGTCCCCCATTATCCCGTCATTGGCAAACCCGTTCGTGGCCGTGGTAGCCACGGCGTGAAGCTTTGTCGCGATCGTGCAGAGCTTGAGGCACATGTCAACACATTGGTGCAGGAATCCCCGGTGGTCCTGATTGAGGAATTTCTCACCGGCGAGGAGGCGACTATTACGGTCATGCCGCCGTCCGCGGGTCATGATTCGCACTGGAGTCTCCCCCCGGTCATGCGATTCAATCATGTGGACGGGGTGGCGCCTTACAGTGGCGCGGTGGCTGTTACTGTCAATTCGCGCACGGTGACTGCGGACGAGATGAAGGACGCATCTTATGGTTCCGTGATGCGGCAATGCGAGCAGATTGGGAAGTTAATCGGGGCTACCGCACCCCTACGTATTGATATCAGAAGGTTCCGCGAGGGATCTGAATTCGCGATTTTCGACATTAACATGAAGCCTGTATGTCTCTCTTGTCTACTTTCCAAGGATTGAAAGGCTAATCTGTGTGATCTAGAACATGACTGGCCCTGGCCGTCCTGGCCGTGAAGATCAGGCCAGTCTCTGTGCCCTCGCTGCCGCTGCTATCGGATGGGATTACGGAACCCTCCTGCAGCACATTCTCGAAGGCGCAGTATCACTGGACCAGTTCCGGAACTACAAAAACCCATTCTCGCGGTCCTAATATTATGCAATCGTTGCCAGCCAGGTACGAGGTACCTCCTTCGCCTCGCCTTATTCCTCAATCTTCACTTCGTCTACCTTTTGGGACTCTTTCACTCCTTCCGTTTCTTTCTCTTTCTTGACAGCAACCATTCGTTTTCCCAACTCATCCCATCGATAAACCGCGCCGTCGCCCACATTATACCTATAATAATTATTTGTGCCACCCGGTACCACCGCCTTCCGGAATGTGATATTGATTCTCCCCTGGCTCCCCTGCGCCCCCTTCCGCTTTGGAATACTATGCAACCAATTAGCCTGTGTCTCGCCCCTCATGACGATCATGTCCCCGGAGTTGAGCGGGAACTTGAGCGGCTTCCCTGCGTCGACGTCACTCCCGGCCACAGGTTTATGCTTGAGCATGAAGTCCCGCTGCCCGCCAAGCGAGATGGACGCGATCGTGGGGTTCGGCCCCAGGAAACGCTCATCGTCCGAGTGGTATGAGATGCTGTCATCGCCCGTGGCGTAGTAATTCACCAGGCAGAAGTTGTAATGGGTTCCGTCGGCGGTGGCAGCCTCGACAGCCTGGCGGAGGACATCGAGACACGGCGGGATGGGGCGCGGGGGATGGTTGTACTTGGTTTTGTCTTTGAGCGTGGTTGGTGGGGCGCGGGTGCGGGCCTCTACGAGAGCGAGGGTGGGAGTCTGGGTCTGAGTCAACTCGGACGAGGAGTTGTCGACGCCGCTAGGTTTCGTATCCTGTGAACCCGGTATGAAAATGCTTGTCTCGTCCACGCCGAAGACGGTCGTGTAACGCGGCGTGTTGATCAGTGTCTCCGTTGGACCGCGGCGGATGGTGTACTGCACGCGATAGAAGGGGAGCTCATTCCGGAGGAAGTTGAACAAATCGCGGGCGATCGGCGACGGGATGAATGGCTGGAAATACAGCAGGTCGAGGTGTGGCTGGTTGTTGATGGCTTGCGGGGGCCGTACACGCTCGAGATTTGCGATCGGCTTGAAGATATGCGAGGGGAGGTCACGAATAGGCATGGGGTAGTTTGGGTGGTGCGTGCTCGAGACGGCGGTGGGAGATGGCGAGTCGGACCGGGATGCTGGTAGAGCTTCCGCATCGGGTTTGGGCTTCTTCGACGGGATGGGTTGGAAGAAGGAATTGATTCTTTTGGACATGATAACACTCGGAATCGAAGCTTGCTTTCGTCAATTGAGTCGCTTTGGACTATAGCTGAGCTTTGCAGTAAGGTGAAGATCTAGAAGACTAAGCTCGAGGCGCGAAGGCGCGAAGGCGCGAAGGTAAGATCGCGTCGGTGGGTGATGTCATAGTTCCCAGCTATTGTGGATCGGAGCGATCCGAATCGTCTCTAGTGAGGAACTGCGCGGGTCTAGACTCTAGACTCTTTTGCTGCTTGAAGTATATGGAGTAGCTTTCTTTTCTGGCTGTGTTCTCTCTGTATCATTCTTCCTCAGCATCACGTACATTTTCAGTGCATGTTGAAGCTGTTGATTCTACGGAGTACTACGTCGCAAATTGATTTGACGATCCTGCGTGATGCGGGGGAAATCTGCGAACAGTTCACCCTTGCAGCTTGAGGAGGTCAAGTGGCAGGGAGATCGCATTTCGTCTATAATGATAGTACTAGTCTTTAGCAAGACCGTAGCTTCTCTTGGGTTATACTTATGGAGACAGATGCCCGCTAGAGGTGTATGCGCAGAAATGCGCCTGAGATAGCACTAAGATTGCTGGACATCATACCCGCCACGGTGCTACAATACTGTATATCATGTATGAGCTCAAACATTGAATCTCAAGTGATATCTGAGCTAGTTACTCCATCATTCTGCATGTAGGGAGCAGTTTTATTGCCCCAATTCATCATGCATGGGGGCGTAAAAAATGTGATTTTCAGTCCATTGGCATTTTGATTCCGCGTCCATTACGGCCAACCACAGTTAGTGGATCACATAATTCCATATTCATCTCCGTTGTGAGCATCCTGGGATGCCTTCCGCTTGGTCCCCGCCTTGCCGAACATAGTGTCGAGCTTCGTTTGCCCCTTCTCATGCTTCTCAACCTTGACTTTCTCCGATGCCAGCACCGGAGGCAATCCCTGGACGCGATGCTTTGCATCCTCCAGCAGCTCGACCTCTCTCTCCCGCTGTTTCTTCACGGTCGAAACCGACCACGAGTTCGATGAGGCCGACTTATACGCGAGCTTATACTTCGAGCCGGTGAGATGGGTCTCGTAGGTATTCGCATCGACTTTCTTGACGTGCTGCCCAGGGTAAGCAATGCCACTGCTGATCTTCTCTACACCTGAAAGAAACATACCTGATGTCCCACAATCAACCAGTGATACTCCGTCCCCACCGGTGCACCGCTTCCCTCCGGCGCTCTTTTTGCACGTCGCTTGTTTGTCCGGTAATCAATGCGCCAGAGGTCCGGCTCCTCTTTCGTCTCCTTCCACGTTCCCTCATCATACTTCCAGGTATGCGAGCCTCCGACGGCCATCCCTGAATACACTTGACCGTTGAACGACTTGAGCGCGTTGTAGCCTGCTCCGCTTCCGCCTGCGTATCCCGCCGCATGCATAGCCGGCTGTTCGCCAGTGCTCCCTGTCTCCTCGGGCATCTCGTCTTCGTCCGCAAGGTCCGACGTCACTGAGTCATGGTCTTCAGTCTGACGTTCTGTGACTCCCCCGCCGCCTGACGCAGGATCTTCCACACAATGAGCGTCATATGCGACTGCAGCATCCTGCTCGGATCGAGGCGGAGAAGGGAGCTTCTGTGAAGACCGGGTATTTCTTCTGACGCGCTTATTCGGCATGTCGCTTACTGGTGGAACATCATAAAAAAATGACGGATGTCCGATAGGTAGGCTGGGTACCTAATAGTGACTAGTTCGAAGTCGAAATGGTCGTGAGGGAGGAAATGGCGAAGAGCGAAAGTAGGAACCATGACGTCACAGGTAGCACATGCCGCGAGAGGAGAACTTCCACAGGTTGAATGGTGGTGGTGTTGACCTCAGCCCGATCTATCTCTTGTACCACTAACATTTTCTTTCCCCTCGATGGCAACAAGCTTCCTTTTACAAACATTCCACCCTACCTACTGATGACTCGACGTCAATCCGTTGCTAAGAATAGCCTCCGTGATCTGTCCAAGAGCTTGCTAAGCTCTTACGTTGCGCGTTGAGTCGTTTCGAGGCGGTACACCTGCAATCTGCTGATCTGAAAGTCGCCCCCGCGCTGCACATCGGTTGAACATTGGTTGAATGTGAAGGGAATAATGGAGTTTGGACACGTCTACCACTCTGCGGTGTGCGTGGATTATCTATGATCGCCAGCCCCAGTCAAGCCACAGGTTATCAAAGAGAGTTGCAGCCACAGATGGACAACGTCATCTCCTGTTCTGATGCGAGTGAGTCAGTGACTGAAGGAAGATAAGTTGTTGCCTCGAGAACTGTAGGTAGCGATGATGACCATTCGGGACGGGCGGGAAGAACCGGTGGGTGGAGTCGTCTTCATAATCCCATGATTAACCTGCCTGCACTCTTCTTTTCTCTACACCTGACAGTCGGTCACCCGATGACGATCATTCTTCTTCTTCTTTTCCTTCTCTCTTTCTTTTTTTTCCGCTGTGCTTGAACCTTTTCCACATCCCGAAAGAGGGGCACTCACTGTGGCCCAAGGCAACGGACCAACCCCCTTCCATCCCACGCATCCATCAGCATCATCGGCTTCATAATCAGCACCAATGTCTCCTTCTTACACACCTCCCTTTCAGGATGACGGACGAACCGCTTTTCCTCTCACAGAACGTTCCCCGCTTATCCTCATGTATCCTCATCAATCACAGGGTCCGCCAACCCATCAGAATATTATGCTTGCGCGGCGGAAGTCGATGTCGCTGCCCTTGCTCTGGCCGATGCGCCACCATACCAGTCCCGACAGTTGATCCCCATCCATGATCACCAACCCCCGCTTGTCCCGGTACAATGACCTATTGGGGAGGCGGGAAAAGCGCGGAATAATCGACATACCATTTCAAGGGCTGATGGGTCCTACCGTAGAGGACTCATACTCATAAATATACTCTTTCTTTTCCCCGGACGTCAGCGGCGCCTCGCGCCCTTTATCCGCTGGACATAGATATCTTTCTGACCGACCCCCTCCGTTGCAAAAACCACACTGCTTCGACATCCCTGTCTGGCGCATAACTGAAACTGTAATCAACGAATCGGCATCCTCGACTACTGCAATATCCGTGCCTTTCTCATCTCCCGTCTCATTGCTTTTTCTCTAGGGGTTTCTCTTTATCCTCAGACATCCTTTGCCCCTCGATTCTTTTTAAGGGTCCTCCCTCCTCTCCACCTGGAGAGGCTACACGGAAACCATATCCGTTCAGACCTTCTTTCCAGCCCTCCTATTTTTTCTTCTCACACTCATTTTCCTTCTCGACCGTGAGAATCTGGTTTTTCGGTCAATATCTGCATGCACGTACCTCTATGATCGACCGCTTTCCCCATATTTGAATAAAGTTCTCTCCGCGTCCCTCGTGACCACGCACACGACCTCCGCCCCCAGCCGACTAAGAGCGAAGTAAAAGAGGTCAAAAAGCAAGCTTTCCCAATCTCGAAACACGACCGAGGCAATTCTTTTTTTTGGATCATCCTTCAAAGACAAGACTCCCAAACACACTTCTCTACGCATCTACACTACATTTAAACACATACACAATATGCGCGACATGCCGTCCCGATTTATCGAGATCCTTGACCCCAGCGATGGCCATCGTCGCATTTCCGACTCCGACGTGCGACTTGAAGATGTTCTCGCCGACCACGAAGCCTTCGTTACCCGACCGCGATCATCTACACAGTCTTCCTCAAAGGCCAGCATAGACAAGGATCGCATAGAGCGGGAGAATCTGTCATCGCCGGGACAGCGGTGGAAACGCCTCAGCAACATCCTTGTCCCTAATCGACGTGCCTCGACTTGAAAGGATGCACTATCCACACCACAATTCTATTTACAGGCGTTTCAATCATTAGCGACAATGACCTCAGCGAGGAGCGGTACCGGAGACCCTCTCACGCATAACATTACCACATTACCCTCCTTACGATCTCCACTATGCTACAACACATCAACATGCTGGTGTACATGGCAACACAAACAACCACGCAACGAATCACTATACGAGACAAGACGAAACGAACTCCATTTTTTTTATTCTACTTCTCGAATTCATGTTTCGGAGTTTGGAATCTAGACATGGAGTAGATGTCACTACAATTTTCATTATATCAGGGATGGGACTCTGATTTTGGGTTTCACTTTAGCGCAGGAGTAGGCACAGGCAAACACAATTAGGGGTGCTTCTTTTTAGGGTGAAATCTTCTGTTCTTACAAGACAATGGATCGAAGCATTGTTTAAAACAATTTACAAAACTTGGATTTATTTTTGTGAAACTCCCGGATCATGAACGATCATGACCTGTTCCTTGCCTCCGGGTTCCTTGGTTCGGTGGTTTGGATTGTCCATGTGACAACCACCACTAGGTTTGGCTCCTTTTCATCTGCCTTCATCTACAAGACCCGACTCATCATTATACTCGTCGGCAAGAATTAACTGATGCCCGAACCCTTCCTTCGCCCCATCACCCACCCATCCTTTGCCCCAACCCAACCCCCCATGCGGTGAGTTAAGTAAGAGTAAGTCCGTAGACTAGTGAGTGAGGGAGTGAATGAACAACATGCCCCGAACCAGACCCAAGTTACTACGTATTCCACATCCAGAATAAGTCCAGTTATGGGTTCAATGGAATTCAGTGGTCACAGTCTAGACTACGTAGACTCCGTACTAGCTCCGTGAACGCCCTACTGAGTGAACGAACCCCCGGGAAGTGGATACATTGACATCATCTTTTGCCGAGTTCTTTGCCCCAGGCTAGTTAGTTAGTGGCTACTTAGGCTACTTAGGCTGGGCTGGGCTCCGCTCGCTTCCGAAATGTGGTTCGGGCAATGCTGGGGCTGGATCACATAGTATGTAGTATGTAGTATGTAGTATGTAATGGCTCATGGGGTTTAGTTGGTTGTCAAGGTGGGGAGGTGGTGAGGTGGTCGGTCGGTATGGTTTGGCGCGAGATGGATTGTTGTTTGTTGACCGGCAGGAGGCAGTACGTACTGTTCAAAGTTACTACTATGTAGTCTATGTAGGTGTAATCTTCAATCGCGTCGCGGGACCTTTCGGTTCTAGAGTAAATCTGAATTAACGTGGTTGCAGATCTATGCTACGTAGGTAAGTCGGAACAATGGCTTTGTTTTTCGGGGATTTCGGGGGCAGGGGGTGGGGGATGGGTATCTAGACCCGTCACTAGCGAGCGCGCTTCTACTGTGTAGGTAAATCACTAGCCAGCCAGCCAGCCAGCCAGCTGGAGTGGCTAGACTAGAGGCTGGTGAACAATGGCGTTGAATTCAATTGTTTGGGTTCTGTAGTGTCTGGGGGCTCCTCTCCGGGGCTGGGGGGGGGCGCTAACACTACCGTGGATCTGCTCGCTACGGGTCGCGGATCGGCGCCTGCTTTTTTGGAACGTCGCTTATCCTCACTCCTCACAGTGGTTCGTGGTTTTGCTTGTTCGAGGAATAATCCTGGGTGATCGGATGATCGGATGATCGGGAGGATGGAAGAAAAATAGAAGGCGGGTTGGTTTGCTTTCGTCTGTATTGGTTGCTCTACTTCGAAGGTAGCCAGGGTGAGGGTTTAGGCTGACAACACGTGGAGAATTGTTTTCTGATGTATGAGTGCCTTCTTCGATTCACGACCGACGATCTCATTGGTTTTGGGACTGCTTGGATTTGTCTGCTATGTTCTGTCTGCGGATCTTGAACTTTGCTTGGATGATCTTCATCCTACATGCACATTCACATATGGCACAACCGTTGCCTCTCCGATAAGCCCATTATCCACTGTTCCGGGCAAGCCACCGTAGGCTCTGAAGACATTTGCCGGGTAAATGCCGCCTGTCCAGAGCTCATCGAAGATCGAGCGGAGGTAGTTCCACATCACGGACGGAACCTCTACCGTGATCTCGTTGGCGCCGGCGTGAAGGTACGGACTGATGTTGATCTTCGGGGCCTGGTAGTCGAAGGGCGGAACGCGGTGACCGTTCACGTAGACTCGCGCCCCGTTGGTGGCTTTGGGTAGAAGGAGGTATGCGCCTGAGGCGGATGCTGAAGGCGACCATGCCAGGCTGTGCGTGTAGTAGCCTATTCCGGAGGCGTTAGCGATGGCGGGAATGTCGCGCCAGGAGACGAGGGAAGTGAGCCTGTGGGTGGTGTTGTGTTTGAGCGCGACAGTGGAGGCATCGCGTATATTAAGGGGGTGGCTCCAATGCTCGACGGTGAGAGTCCAGTTAGAAAGAGTGATACTTGGGGCGACGGTGCGGTTAGTGAGCTGAGTGATGGTTTTGCCGTTGGAGAGTGGCAGTGATGTCTTTGCAAGGCTGCTGGACGAGACATGCAGATGAAGGCTCCCTGCTTGACTGTACTCATGCCCAATGATTGAAGTGGGAATGTCGGTGGTACGGAGTGATGTCGCAGACGTCATGGTGTCCCTGAAGACCAGTATGGCGGTCTGGTTTGCAGCAAAGGAGAAGGGAATTATTGTGCGTCCGAATTCCTGTTGATATGCCAAAAGTGGGCTCTCTTTGCCAGTCCACGGATCTAGTGAGTAAGGCTGTTTGGTGGTTGCGACACTTATTCTGCCAGCAGACTTGACCAGGTCCGAGAGGATGAAAAGATAATCTGTGCCGTCGCTGTCAGTTCTCCAGGTAGAATACCAGGTCCCGTCTGCCTGCACTTTTACCCTGGGCGAGATGCCTAGAGCTGAGAGCTTGCTAGCTGCTTGACCAGCAGCGACTGTATGGACATTCTGGGTAGCCTGCAGAGAGGCCAGCTCTGCCCGAGTGGCAGTCTCAGTCCCATCTTCTGTGAAGTAGATGTTGGGCAGTCCATCTGATAAGATTACCGGAAGACCTGCACGGGCATAATTTTTGATATGGATGACGGCATCAAGAGTGAGGTTGCTCGACCTAGTAATAATCATGGCGCGAAACTCGGGACCATCCGGTGCCAATGACCCATTCTTCACATAAGCTTGAGGCAAGGCGAAGTTCTCGGGTGACAGGTAGACATAAGTGTAACCTTTTCCTATTAGAACGCAAAGTCCGCGAAGTTGGAAGAGAAAACACATACCGTGCTCGATCAGGTCACTCTGGTTATAGATAGTTCCCAAATACGGATCAGATGCGGAGTCCTTGCTATAGACGACCAAGTCAACTTTCGGGACACCCTTTCGCTGTGAGTATTGTAGCCTCGCAATGTGGTTCAAGGCTTCTGAGAATCCGTGGCCCCAGTATGGCTGCTTCTCAGAGTATGAGTCTGAAAACAGATAGAAGAACGCTGTATAGCCTGGCCACGTCGTATTGTAGTAGTCTCCAGAGTAGGATTGTCCATGCAACACAACCTGATTGACGCCCCCTGCAGCCGCTCGATTGACCTGCCACAGAAGCTCTGTGATTGTATGGCTATATGCTTCGGTTGTAACAGCGCCCAGCTCGTTCGAGATGACTTCCTTTCCTGCTAAGATCGCGGGACCAGAGAATTGCCGATAACTGTCAACATTGTTCTGGTGCTGCAAGCTCTCGCACTCTGGTGCATTGACATACGGGACATTAGCCAAGACATCAACAGGTATATTGTAGCCAACCTGAGACGAGTATTGTAGGTTCATCGCGTTGGTCCAGTTCGTGTAGTGCTCCACGTAGGCCTGGTATCCCTTCATTACAGCACCACGGAAATCATTCACATATCCCTTTCCTTGGTCTGGAGTATCTAGCAGGCACTGTATCGAACCCGGTGCAGCGGTTTGAATGCCAATGTTGTTATTGCCGAAAACGAAGAGTGGTAGATAACGCTTCAGGTCATAGCCATATTTGTCATAAAAGACTTTCGGCAGCGATGGCGTCCACGATATGTTCGAAGTCGCCTCGATACTATCCTCCCAGCCTGTCAACTTATCAGCTATGTTCGTCCCTTGGTGTGGCAGGAATGCTTACCATAGTTACCGACCTCGGAAAGAAGCTCCTTGATCTCAGCGTCCTCGAGCAAGTAGTCATCCCAGAACCTGGTGACTACCTGTGCTCCCTGCGCACTGAAGTGGTCGACAATGTAAGAACCATTGTCAAAGATTGTCCCGGTCATGTTTGAGTTGACTGGGAGATTTTGCGTGTGTGTCCGGTACTGGTAGAATGCAAAAAGCAGATAGGTTTCGCCTTGAGACGAAGGGAGGTTCAGATGAACAGTGCCTTCTGATGATACATTGTCTGTCCAATCCTGTAGTGTTGCATTCTTGAGCACGTATTGCATATGGTCCTCGACTGCCACGGTGTAGAAAGTCGTAACGGTCGGGCCAGTGATGTTCCGAGCAGAAAGGATTTGAGCCGAAACCAGTGCCACCAGATCGCCTGTATCCCAACCTGGAAGCCTGCCGTCATACGTTCCGTTCGAAGGGATAGCAACTTTGTAGGGAGCCTAATTATTCAAGTTCAACATGTTAGTGTGCACAAAAGCACATAGTGCCCTTTCTCCCACTTACCAAATCCCACTGGAGCCCCTCATCATCATACCGTGCAGGCACTCCCTGGCCCTGGTTAGGACCAAGGGGAAAGTCCATGGCAAGGCCAGCCTCCTTGTGAGCCTGGAGAGCAGCTTTGAAAATCTCGAGGTACGCCGGCGTGCCAAAGCCATAGGTCGCCCAGTCCGCCCCTGGCACCTCGGAGCCATAAGCGTAGAATGGGAGGAACTCAACACCACCAGCACCCAGAGCGCCAGCATCTTTAATATTCTGTTGAACACGTCTGGAGTCGACACTTGCATCCGGCAGCCAGTAGCGGAAACGAGGACGCACGCGAGGTGCTGGATCCTGAAACGAGCCGAGGTCGTCATAAGGTCCAGTCGTCTTGTGGGCGAGGGCAATGCCCTGTCGTGAGAGCAGCGCGGTAATCAGAAGCGAGGTCAAACGCATTTCGGTCAATGGCAAGCTGTGATTGCACACTGTGCTGGTGCTTATGAGTTCTCATGATGAATGTTTCTCTGCTTTATACCTCAGTTCCATCACAGCTCTCATACAGGTTCAAGGCTCGGTTGGCCCTACCCCGAGATGCTCGTTGTGACCCTGTACATTCAGACAAGCCGGGTTGAGACATTTCATGGACGAATACCTGAAAAGAGAGAGATAGGCAGGCTCAGGATCAGCGAAAAAAGGCTCCGCAAAGGATCAAGTCGGAAAGGTAAGAAGCCATTGGCACTGCAGGGAAGTCTGCATAAACGAGAGTGTTGACGCGATCACATTTTGGGAAAGAAATACGGGGGCAGTCGTATTCGGGCCCAACTAGGCCGGTGAGTCGAGTCTAGTACGGCAAGCATCGATGCTGAATTGTTCGCTGTAGGACTAGTGTTGGATTTCTCCGCATTGCCGCCCAGCTAAAGACCCTGCCTGACGCGGGGAACTCGCGGGGAGCAATCTATTCTCAGGACCCTGTCTGTATTATACCAGTGTATGATTATTATCCTACCAAATGCTGCTGTAACATGCGGTAGCAATGTCTCTATGCTAATCAATTCAAGCGAATGGCTCTCCGGACCCTGCTTCGTCCGGCCCCAAGCCCACCTTCCCTATGCTTCCACCAGATTCAAGTAGTTCATGCCCTTTCCTGACACCTTCGAGAGTGAGCTTCAGTCGCTTGGTCAAATGGCATTTGATCTTTCCAGAGTCGATCATTTCCGAGAGTTCCTCCAAGATGCGATGATGCGAATCAATATCCACCTTGTGATACGGTTTCGTGCCAAGCAGACACCAAACGAATGTGAGAGATTTGGACATGAACTCGGTCCCATACATTTTCGCCTGGCCTTGCACAATCGAACAGACCTTACCGAATGGAGCACAAACCTTGGCACATGTATCCATGTACTGGTCCGTGGAATGTGTGATGAAAATGTACCTGGATGAATGGTTAGCTTATGTCGCATTGAAGTCGGGCCATGCCTTACTTCAAAGGGAGATCAAGGTTCAGATCTGCTACCTGTTTTGAAACGTCCTCCCGGTGGTTGACAACGTGCGTAGCACCCATCTCTGTGGCAAAGCTGATTGTCTCCGGTCGCGAGGCTGTCGTGATGACCACCGGTACTTCGAGCAGCACGCGCGCAATCTGAATTGCCACAGCACCGACTCCACCAGCGCCGTTAATGATCAAAATTGCTGTTCGCTCGCCTTTCTTGATTCCCAGCCTCTCCACTAGGGCTTCATAGGCCGTGATATATGTCAGAGGCATGACAGCGGCTTCGACGAAGTCCAGACGCTTCGGCTTTTGTCCCACACTCCTTTCATCCACCAATTGATATTCTGCGTTGGAACCCTGCCTGATAGGACTTCCGGAATAGAAGACCTCATCTTCGACCTTGAAGTAGGAGCACTCAGAGCCAACTGCTTCCACAACACCTGCAGCGTCATATCCGGTGATTTGGAACGGTCGAGGGACATTATCATAGTAGTCTGGCGATTCGTCAGTAAAATAATTCTACCCTGGGTCACGAACCGGTATGGGCTTGCCTGGGTAATCATCGTAAGTTCCGTTTCTCACTTTCGTATCCACTGGATTCACGGATACTCCTTTGACCCTGATCGATTGCTCTTAGTTCTTGTTTAAATCAATAGACAAATTGCTCGATACCGAACCAACAAATCCCGGGGCTGGAGCTCGGAAGGCTTCGGGATTTCCCTCGCCTGGAGGTGGTCAATGGGACCGTACTCTTCAACGCCAATCGCTTTCATTGTGACTGAGGTCTTCAAGCTTTTCTCGATAGTTTGTCGTCAAAGGACATAGCATTCACCGCGGATTGAACTTATAAACCACTTTGGTGAGGTTACGTCACCGGCACGTCAAGAGACTATATGCTCCGTCAGTATAGTCAGTGACTTTGTGCTATAGACATGTTTGATGCTGGTCCGCACAAGTACCATTAGCTCTTGATGAGTGATCCGGTAATAACGCGTCCTGGAGAAATGCATTGGTGCGAAAAGAAGTCATTTCTCGATTGGTAGTCATGTCCCTAGACAGACATCGCGGAGTCCAAGGAGGCTTGTCACCTCGTATCTCAAGACATCAAACAGAAGCTTAGCTCCGTGCAGTCAGGGTCCTTCAGAAACGAGCGTTCGCATGCTTCAATATCTCTCTCTTCCCGTTCCCTGCATACACAAACGAGATCAGCATGATTCCTTATCGCGAGAACCAGCGCATCCCTGCAGCAGCCTTATCGATAAGGCAAGGCGGACAGTCAAGCGGTGAACAATTTTGTCCGGCATGATAAACAAACCCACCTTAATCGGGACAGCCAGGTACCGACCGCCCCGCCACAAGACAAGCATCGAAAAACAATCAACGCGCGAGCAGACGGGATAAGGGCCGGGATACGATTTACTATCTAAGCACAATACAACCTGAGTGACTCCGCATTGAGCGACAGACTTGAGGCCGAAGCCCTCCATTGAACAGATCCCCCGGAGCACATCTCCCAAACCACCAAAGATGTCAACAACGCCCGGCGCAAAATCCCGCTCCATAACCCCGACAGTCTTCGAGCAGCAACGGGCAGAACTCGTAAGAGAAATCGCCGTGGTAAGCCCTCCTCCTCTCATCCCGGAGTCTCTCGGTGCGATGGGCGTCTCATTGCGTTGTTGGTCGGCCCTTTCTCTTTCGCCGAAGCGAGGACACCCCTGCCCCCAAAAAAAATACCTCACTGAAACTAAACTCACATGGGGGTGGTGGCTAGGGCATGGAGCAAGTTCTCCAGAATATGAATCGGCTCAATCGGAACTTGGAGAGCATCATCTCTGTAGGTCTCACCGCTCCCCCCACCCCACCCTTTCTCACTTCATGGAGGATGTGGTTCTATTGGCTTCCATGCAAGGATCAAGAACGGATCGCTAATATACCCTTGCGTAGGTGGGGAATGAGTTCGGCTCCGTCGAGGCCCTGTGGTCACGGTTTGAGAATTTCATGGGCCAGCCGGCTGATGGGACGGAGGCTCCGGATCGGCGGAACGAGGGGGGGCAGCAGCAGGAGGAGGAAGAGGGGCAGAGTGAGCTTCGCGATGAGGAGATGAAAGATGCTGAGGCTTAATTGCGGTTCTGGGTGGTGGAGGTATATTGTTTGTTGTCTACGACATCTGGCTAAAAGTCCGGCGTTTTGAGTATGGCGTGAATCTGTTTTGGCGTGGTCGAGGGAGCTTGTCTGCTTATCTTCTGTCGCAGGATATCCTTCCTTTTCCAAAGAGCTGAATGAATTACTGGATGATCTCCCAGCAAGTTTTTGGGGATGGTGTTCGGATTCAGTTACATGGGATGTCGCTTGCGCCAAAAAGAAAACACCCGTCCCATGCATAACAAATAGAGGCCATATGGCCGTGCTCATAACAGACATAAAGCATTCAAGGAATAGAAAGAAGGGGACAGAAGCGTGAGATGATTGAGACAATCGGAGTTTATGGGAAAAGTCATCAAGGCCAAGCAGGTATAACAAGGTAAGAGACGATTGGACAAACAGAAAGCCGCCGGCAAATCTCAAGAAACAGATACTAGCCCAAGTGGACTGAGAACCAACATCAAAAGTCAAACGGAGGGTGCCGATCATGGCCGGGCGCCATCTCGCTTTGCTATTTCGTATCACATGTGAAAAGAGTCGGTGAAGCCGTCAAAGCAACCAGGCTTGTGTGTGGCATGAGCGTGAAAGGGGAAATGAAATGCTGGGGTGGTAAGGGTGTATGAGAATATACCAGTTGAGGAGTCAGTAGAGAGATAAAGCGAGCCAACCAGTTACAGGATCTTGCAGCTCCGCTTCTTGACCTTCTTTCCGCCGCCACCGGCGCCCCCGACTCGGGGTTTGCTGCCAGCGCTGGACGTCTGACGGTCATTGCAGTCTTGTTCTTCAGCGGAAACCACAATATCGACTGCAAGTCCGAATACGCCGTCAACACCGCGCATCTCCTTGCTACTGCATTCCACGTACGAGGCGTTCATACGACGCGCCACTGCTTCGCCTTGTTCGGGCGTTACCGGCGTCAGTCCTTGGGTCTTAAGCAGCTCGATGCATGTTCTCTTATTGCGCAGATCCGACTTCAAGCCCACTAGAATGAGCGGGGTAGTTGGGCAGAAATGCAAGACTTCAGGATACCACTATGTATTTTGGTCAGAGGCTTCCACTAAATGCAGACGGCGGGCCAGAATCAAGCATACCTTATCCATCACATTCTCTAGCGAGGCGGGGCAGTCGATAGCAAAGCAAACAAACAGGAGATCTGTTTCTGGATACGACAATGGACGTAGACGATCATATTCTTCCTGGCCAGCAGTGTCCCACAGAGCGAGCTCGACTGTCTTTCCGGAAGCCCGGTGAGTTGTTTGCGTGATGTAGTTCTCGAACACCGTAGGAACATATTTCTGAGCCGGGGGGGTCAGTTGGGATCGGAAGAATCAAGCCGCCGCAGGGACCGTCAGGCACTTACCTCCGGGAAATAACCTTGCGAATAACTAATCAAGAGACAGGTCTTTCCGCAGCCGCCATCGCCCACCACCACAAATTTTTTGGAATATGCCGGAGGCTGCGTGATATTCGTGGCTTCTGACATCCTTCCGCTGGAAACACTGGTGTTTGTGCTGACGGTGCCGTTGCTGACTCTGACGCTCTGGCTGCGCGTCCGGCTTTGTCGCGGATTCATGGACTGAGGAGGAGTTGCGAGTGAATGACGACGCGAGGGTGCATAAGCTTGGTCATCATACATGGTACCTGACATGATGTCGGAATAGGAGAATTGATGGAATGTAGGTATCCAGTCGTTCTGGAAGGGGGGGGGGGGGGGGAGGAAACCAAAGTGTCGGTCAAGAAATGCTTCCAGATAATTATCACTATTCAAGATCCACCTGGTTGCCCGAATGCAAAAGCCAAGAGGTTTGAAATATGGTAGGTAGTTATGGAATTTCCTTTCTTGTGTCAATGAGGCTCCAAAGTCGACACGTCGCTGCGAGGTTGCTGCACGAAGGAGGAGATCGATTATAGTGGTGGAGGCGAAGGTGGAGGTGGAGGAAGAGGAGGAGGAGGGGTGGTTGGGAAGGAGAACGTGAAAGACAATACGCGAAACCAGCACGAAGAGGTTCCAAAAGGGAGGAAGGGATGTCAGGCTTCGAGATCGAACCCTCTAATACGGGGACCGATGGCCGAAGAGCCATTGATGGGGCGGGCTGCTTCTGGTGCTGGTGCTGGTGCCAGTGCTGCGACGAGGCCCCATTGCGGCTGACATGAAACCGCCAGACCGATGTTTACCGGCCGATGAGCTGCCATGGCAACGCCGCGGGACAAATGACGCACTGTCTCCGCTGTCAAGTAGTTCCCTACTTTTGAGGCAGTCCAGGGCAGTTTCAGCTCATCTCTTGTCTTCTGTGAGCTTTTTTTCTCTTGACATAGTGCTCCATCTTTATTGTTTATTTTTAGCAGATTCGTCACATCTCACCAATTCCTTGAATTCCTTGAATTGGTGGACTTTCACTGGGCTAGAACCAAGGCTCCATCCCATCCAAGCTGTGCCTCTCCCATGTGGTCCGGCACAGTACTCCGTACTCCTCTGGTTCTTGCCAACTCCTCCTTTGTCCTTCAAACCACTTTCCGATCTTTAGATCGGGGTATAGTCCCTAGTGCCAGGGCTAATTCCGATCTGTTGGTTGATTAGATGGGATGGCGTCTGTCAACTGCGGTTCCTTGCGTAATTGCCTCAACCCGTAGCCGTTGTGACAGTCCCCGACCAAGACTAGGAGTGGAATCACTTCTGACGTAACTTGGTCCCGGCTACTGTCTCATACTTGGAGCCTTGAATTCTGCCCAGTGCTTCCCAGGTAGGCCACGCTTTCTGTGAGGGGGGACGGAGACTCCCAAAGAAGTCTCGTCACACATGATATATATATCATGGATGTCCATCCTCCACGGGCTGTGCGCACGACCCGACTTACATATAGCGTTCAAACATGATTAGTAGATGTCTGTTTATCCATCAAGTAGGGTATTTATGGAGACTTCCAAGGTTGATTATGCAAGTACGAGTAAAAAGGTCTGACACGTGACCCTGCAGCACGTCCCTGGCCCTTTGGGGCTCTTCATGGAGGTTCGAATTGGCGGCGGGCGCATTGACCGCCAAATCCCGCCAACACGATTCTGATAAGTGACTGTCCGCGTCCGCGGGACAAGTAGTCTAATCTAGTAGTAATACCTCCAGGCTGGCTCTGATTTCTCTCCTTAATCGACATTGACATTGTGTCTAACCGGCCCCCCCTCCCTTCCTCGCCCCGACTACTCAGGGATTATCTCTATATTTTGTCTTATTTGAATCTCTCGGAAGCCTTAATGATCACCCAAGGCGGTCGGAGAACCTAAGGGAGTCTGTCCGCCAGGAAACGGAAAAAAAATCACATGGAGGGAATCGCAATCATCTCATCACTTTGATAGCTCTACACGCTTGCCTGCTTGGGCAGCAGTCATCGCAAATGGCTCACAGCAAAAATGGCCAGCCCGACGCTGGCCTGAGAAGTCTCAATCATTGTATGTTTGTACAGTACTTGTCCTATCAGAAGTCAGTCTCTTTGTCCAACACTAACAGTGGCTTGACCTGTGCTTTTGATTAGATCGAAACCAGCTTCCTCTTTGGCGTTACTGGCCACGACAGAAATTGCTTCCATTGATTCGATTCGAAACACCATATCTCGCCTGGTGCCAGGAGAAAATCCGAACTCCGACTCTGGATTCATACTTTGCGTTCACGGCCAACCTAGGAACACACACCTTCTTCATGGTTTTCCTCCCGATTCTATTCTGGTGCGGTTATGCAAGCTTGGGACGTGGGTACGTGCTCTCGATTGGATGTTACGACCGACTATTTCGGCGTCGGGGGACTCTGCGCCTGGTAGCTGCGAATCGCTGACATACTTGGCTCTCGTCTAGGATGGTGCATCTATTGGCCTCCGGTGTCTTCTTTAGTGGCTTCATCAAGGACCTCCTGTGTCTACCTCGGCCTTTATCTCCACCCCTCCAGCGCATAACAATGTCCGGCTCTGCGGCTCTGGAGTATGGATTTCCTTCCACTCACTCTACGAATGCCGTTTCGGTCGCAGTCTATGTTCTCTCCCTCCTCAATTCTCCGGATTGTACTCTTAGCTCTAGTATGAACTTGGCACTTCAGGCTTTGACATATGTCTATGTCAGCTCCATTGTTCTGGGCCGCCTGTATTGCGGAATGCATGGATTCTGCGACGTGGTCACGGGCTGCCTGTTAGGTGGCTTCCTTGCCTATTTGCAGTACACATATGGGCCGATCATCGACGAATATATCCTTGCTGCTACAGGGAAAGGCGTCACAGTAGTCATTCTGCTCATCTTGGCCCTGGTCCGTGTGCACCCAGAGCCTGCGGATGACTGCCCATGCTTTGATGATAGCGTGGCTTTTGCGGGAGTGACACTCGGTGCTCAAATCGCTTATTGGCACTTGGCACGCTCGAAGATGGGGTGGTATGAGTCGGCAGCAGGCCCCGCGCCCAAATTTGAATTGGTGGAAATGACAAAAACTGCTCTTCGGCTGGTCCTGGGAATCCTATTACTCTTCGTTTGGCGGGCAGTGACAAAACCCTTCATGCTTCGGATTCTTCCACCTGTTTTCCGGGGTCTTGAAAAGCTAGGGCTGATCCTTCCTCGGAGGTTCTTCACCAATGCTTCGTAAGTTGATTTCTTTTTTTGCTCAGGAGGGCCGATCTTCAATGGAAACGGACTACCTCTAAACAGACACCTAACCGGTTGACTTGATAGGCAATACTCCCGTGTTCCAGCGCATCTGAAGGATCATGAAGTCCTCCCAAATTTATCCGAGATCCCATCGTTCCTCACCACGATACGCCATCCGAGACGACGAGCAATATCCGTTGGTCCTCAATCAGAGGCCGATGCCTATGAAGCATTGGCATATCGTGAGAAGCGCAGGCAGGAGAGTCTCTCCCATGGCCATAAGGCTACCCCTGCCACCGAGGTTGGCCAGGCTGGTTCCTCCGCCAGAGAGGCTCAGCCACCGAAGCTGTCAAGACGGCCATCCAAGCTCAATGACTATGAGCACATGATGGGCACGGGAGCTCTAGGTCCTGCGACGTCTCTTGACAATGCTTGCCAAGCGGACTCATCCACTGTCCCCTTTCCCGATTTCGATGCTGAATTCGAGGCCGATGAAGAGGAACTCTTCGCGCAGGTCAAACGCCCGCGCGTACGCTATGATGTAGAGGTAGTCACAAAGCTGGTGGTGTATTCTGGTAGGTCCTGCCAAGATCCCTTTAAATCATCGCACCCGCGACTTCGCTTTGGCTAAGTGTGCTGACAATTTCTGGATCGAAAGGAATTGCTTGGATAGTCATGGAGGGGGCCCCCCTCTTGTTCTCGCAAATTGGCCTTGCGGCCTATTAGCACGATGATCATGGGTGTAGTCCCGGTTTGACTGTGTCTCCTGGTTCAGTCCAGCACATCGGACTCTACACGTCCGCGATGTAACATAGCTGACATTTCTGTTACTGTATATACGATTTTATTTTCTCTCTTTTTTCTATACCTGAGGCATTTTCAAGCACCTTCCCAAGCAAGCAAGGCCTATCCAAGCACCTCTCCTATTAAGCAAAGCCTTGCCAACAGCTTCTGTTGCTTTTCCGCAGACTCTCATGTATAATCAAACGAATCAACGTGATTAGAGCTGTATTTAGACCCCGAACTTTCAGTTTAACATATAGTTATAGAAGGCTTTGGAATCAAGTCGAGTCATATTGTTCATCAGTATTTCAATATACAAAACCGGCCTTCTTTTCTGGTCCACTTCGTGGTGGCGGACCGCTTCTACGTGACCGATTCTACTAAGAAGTACCTAGGTAGCGCTTCGCAAATTGGGAGGATTTTGGGCCACTGATTTTTCCGGTTCGATCCTTAACTTACCGTGAAGATAAAGGGTCATCATCGCGTTCGCAGAGTATCAATCTTACAATAATAGCCAGTTTACTTTGTACTCGTTGGTAGCTTCGAGAGATCTTGATTGAGAGGCTGCTAAGTGTGGCCGTTCCGATCACCAACTTGAAAGACTCGAGTATACGTATAGGTATAATATCACGTGATCTTTCCCCGGAGGGAGGGTCAAGCTTCCGGCGCTAAGCCTCTCTAAGGTTGAGCATAAAATGGCGGGCGGGCGGGCGTCGTCGGGGTACGTATTATTAGTTAGCTAGCTAGCTCGGTCTTCCCAATAACTTCATATCGCGGCTGTACTGATTCATTCACTCCTCACTCTTTCCACCTGCCCCAGTTGCGCCCACCACACTCACTGGACCCCACGCCTTCCAATGTAACACCAATTTGCACTGCGACCTCAGTGAATATTTCGGCAACAGTGTTCCTGCCATGGCGATGATCGTGTTGTGATTGCGCCTTCCCTTTTTTTTTGTTTCTGTTTCTCTTCTTCCTCCCTCCCTCCCTCCCACCCACCCACCCACCTCTCTCTCTACCTCTCTTCATTTCTCTCAACTTCCTCTTCACACAACACAACACATCACATAAGCGTACTCACATCACTGCTTCTATCACCGAACTCACAAATTCACATCACTGCTTTCGTCACCGAACTCACATCTCACTGCTTCCATCACCAAACTCACAACACTCACAATCATATCACTCTGCTGGCATTACAATGTCTCGCCCTCTCGATCCATTCGCTGAACTGTGGCAGCACGAGGTAAGCTCATCCGCCCCAAGGATAGAATAATAACTTCAGGACTAACCGATTCCTAGCGCGAGCAGATGTCTCGACTGAACCCCCCCACTAGGCGTCTTCCTCCCGGTTTGTCCGATATCAATATCTCCGCTCAGCCAAACTTCATGCGTGATAACACCTCACTCCTCGCCAATGGGCCTGGACCCAAGCTAGGCAATATCCATTGTCCCAGCCGGAGCGACCCTGACTGGTTCCCAACAACAAGCCGGTACGACAATCCTGACTCACCTCTATTTCGTCCCACTGCACCAGATTCGGCTGGACCTTCAAGGAATGCATTTGCTCCACGTCCATTTGGTGTTGATGAAACCAGCACTTCGCAAAATGTACTCGCTTCACGACGTTTTGGTCTCAATGAACCCAGTACTTCGCAAAATGCGTTCGCTCCACAACGCTTTGGTCTAAATGAACCTAGCACTTCTTTTGCTCCACGTCCATCTGGAATTAATGCACCCAGTACTTCGCGAACTGTATTCGCTCCACGTCCATCTGGACTCAACGAGCCCAGCACTTCGTTTGCTCCACGTCCATTTGCACTCGATGAACCCAGAAATTCGCGAAATGTGTTTGCTCCACGTCCATTTGGTCTTAATGCACCCAGCACTTCGCGAAATGGATTCGCTTCACGTCCCTTTGGTCTCACTGGTGAAGCTAGCACTTTGGACAATACCTTTTATCACAGTCGGCCGAGAGTCCAACTTCACCCTATGCCTGGCACAGAAGAAGAGAAGTTTAAGAAGCTTGAGGCCACATTTTTGGCCGGCAAAGGGCAGGATTCCTCGAGTACCGCGACTCGCAAGAGACCACTAGAGATATCTGACGAAGATGACGAATGTCCTTATAGACCGCAACAATCTCAAAACACTCCGTACGGTCTAACAATTGCCAAGTCATGCCCACCTCTTGAGCAGAAGGAGGCAACGGACATGCATACTTTGGTTTCAGATACGGCACGTATCGAACATCCCTCGCATGAATTTACTCTGCGTGTTCCTACTACTCCCCAAGTCCGTCCACCCGGCAGTTGGCCGGAAACAACCTCAGCAGCAACACGGTTTGCCGACCTCACTAACAACTATGTACCGGAGCAAGCTCTTAACCCTGCTTCAAGCTGGGCTGGGTTGACAGCGCGCTTGACGCGTGTCGTTGGTAACAACATGACCAGGCGTGCTAACAACACCGCTAGAGCTGTGCGTGGTGTTGGTAACCACATCACCCAGCGTGCCACCAAAACCGCTAGGGTTGTGCGTGTTATTGGTCATGATATAAGTCAGCGTGCTACCATCACCGCCCGACGAGCTGTGAATGTTGTTGGAACCTTCAAACGTCGCATTCAGCAAGTACTCCACAGAGATACAAATGAGCATGGTTCTGAAGATCACCGAAGAGGACCACCTGCCGATTCTGATATGCCGTCGCTTGACGCGGCTTCTGTTGTTGTTGATGATGTTTTGAGTCCAGATGTGCTGGATGCCACCCCCGAGCCGCTCCATCCTGTTGAAATGCCGTCGCCGGCGGACGGTATTTTCGAACTTGTCGAGATTAATTTTAGTGGTTTCAACTTTTGGTCTAGCCGTTCCGATTCCTCAGATACACCCAGCTCTGGTTCGGCCACCAAGCCCAAGTCTTTGAAACGTGCCGCACCCGAATCCGAAGACACAGTCCATCCTTCCAAGAAGTTTGAGACCCGAGCTCCGATGGCCTTCTCTCCCCTTCGCACACGCACCTCATTTGTGCGTAAAATGTTTCCACCTGCTCACGTGGGGAGTCTTGCAGTCGCAGAGGCAATAGAAGCCCATCGTGCAGGAGATCCCATGCCACTCAAGCGCATCAATTACAGGAGACGAGCATATTTTCTCCCATTCATTCGCATTCCTTCCACCGAGGTGAAGGAAACTGCTAGCCAAAGATCCAAGACGGCACAGTCTCAAGAGGTGAAAACGAAGAGTATTTTGAAGACCAGCAGTAACGCTGTGGCCTCATCTTCGAAGTCTTCTGTGATCGATGCGACTACCGTCAGCTTTTCTGATGCCAATCATGAAAAGCATACGCCAAAGCCGAAGCCCTCCCGCAAAGTTCACTTTCCTAACTCGCCTGTGACAGGTGAGCGTATTATAACACCTCGCAATGCGCCTCATGCCCCATGGACACCGTCACCGTCACCGTCACCGTCACCGCCAAGGGCACGAATTGGACATCTCCAGCATCTTCTCGATGCGCACGCGAGAAATATCCTTTCCAGCGAAGAAACCGATGTTAAAGCTATTACCGATGAAGAGCAAAAGGAGAACATTGCTCCTATGGCTCCTGATACCACGCCCCGCGATTTGATGAGCACTGAAGTTACGCCCCGCGATATGTTGAGCAATGAGTACATGAGAACCGAAGACACGAATATCGAACAAGTGAATACCAATCAGACGACTGCTGATGAAGTGATCAGCCATGAAGGTAGATCTGTTATTGCACAGGAAAGCAATATGCTCTCGCAGGATCCCTCTACACAGGAGGCAGAGCAACACCCCATGGGTCGAGCACTTTCTGCGGTAAGCATGTTCTATCCTAATTCTTCCCCTATCCCGGTAGGCAGGACTGAGTCTCTTCTTGCCAAAAGCTGGAGAGCGACCGTGGCGGAAAACGAGGAAAAAGAGGGAAAAAGAAGAAGGCAGAGCCAGCAACGCCCACCCGCAAGAATCCTCCTCGAGCGGCCCGCAGTGCGACCCCTAAGCGCTAAGTGGATTAAACGCCTTGAAGACACCATGGCTGGGCCACCGTCGAGGAAGGTCGCCACTACACTTTCGGGAGAGACATTGACGACACGAGATCTGGCAACCTGCTATACACCGTTGGAGTGGCTGAATGACGAAGTGATCAACGCGTACATGGCATTAATTATCGACTACTTGCGAAGAACCAACAACAACTCTGGGCGGCATGACAAGCCGCGATACCACGCATTCAATTCTTTTTTCTTTTCCAATTTGCGAGACAAGGGATACGAGTCTGTCCGCAGGTGGGCGACACGGGCCAAGATTGGAGGCAAGGCTCTCCTCAACGTCGACACGGTGTTTGTGCCTATCCATGACAAATCTCACTGGACACTCATCGTGGTCAAGCCGTGCGATCGCACCATCGAACACTTCGATTCCCTGGGGGGCTTGAACAGGCGCCATGTAAATCTCATCAAAACATGGCTGGGGGGGGAACTGGGGGAGGGATTTGTGGAGGCGGAGTGGAAAGTGCTGCCGTCCCTGTCTCCCCGGCAGGACAACGGGTCCGACTGTGGTGTCTTCCTCCTGTCGACGGCGAAAGCCGTCGCCATCAACCTGGAGCCCCAATCCTATGGGGCTCCAGACTCCCCACTACTGCGACAGAAAATAGTGGGGGAGTTGATGAATGGAGGTCTGGACGGGGACTTCAATCCCGTCCAGGGCCGGGGGGTCATGCTGTGAGTGGTCGCGGTCAGCACTTCGACTGGCCACTTGGGGCGGGGATGGCGGCACCGGGGGGGAGGGAGGGGGGAACAAACAACAAAAAAAAAGAACCAAAAAACCAACAAAAAAAAACAAAACAAAAAAAGAAAAAAAGAAAAAAAGAAAACCAGATGGAAAGTGTGGATAGGGATGAGCAAGCATGTATGATTAGCGTTCGTCATGTTATGAGGTCTTGGTTGCATTGGGTTGGAGTCATGTTTGTGAAGCGAGTTGTTAGCGTCTGTTGACTGTTTGTGTTTTGTACGGATACCCCGTCAGTTGAAGCCCGAGCTCCTGACATGCGTTTGTTTCTGAGTGTGGAGAGCATGGAAAGAGATGGGGATGCTTGATGTAAATAGCAGGGCTGTGTTCCCCGTGCGTCGCTCATAATACCTCGGGCGACCACCTCTACAATGACACTATCTCAAGTCTACTTTTCCTCTCTCAAATCAAGGTGCACAGTAAAGAATGTTCTTCATGTGTCGGTAAGAATAAGGCTATACAGCTATGAAAGAGCGCCCAGCGATGCTTTCATTGATCTACCCAACAAGGTCTCCGACAGTGGGTCGATGGACCAACTGACAACGGTCCTCTCGTCTCACGACCATCCTCTTGGTGATGGCGTAGTTCCTCCACCCGCGATTGACTCAGGCCCATGGCCGCGAGATTCAAATCTGGTCGATAATGATGATGATGATGACGATGTTCCTTTCTACTACGCCAGCCGAGGACATCATCCCCCTCCTTGCCACCCCAGTCACTTCCCTTCTGCTGTTCCAGGGACGACCATGACGCCAGTAACTCCGAGGAAGCAGACGCAGAAGCGTCGACAGCAGCAGAAGAAGAAGAGAGATTATAGAGCAGCTCCATCCACTCGATCCCGAGGTAGACCGACTCGCCGACGCGCAGGTCCCCCGTCCACTCCCCACCGTTACTCCACAAGTTGACGACGATGATGCTAGGCCGGTCCGGCACGCGATACCGCTTGACGGTCTGCAAGGCGTCGTCCGCATACCACCGCGATTCCGTCCGCAACCAGTCCAGCCGGTGCGTCGTCCACTCCGTCCAGGGCCGCGTCAGGTTCACCACCGCGCTCGCCCCCGGGATGATCCGGTCGTGCTCCGCGTCGTAGTCCGGTTGGTTGGCGTAGTGGATCGTGAAGGGACTGTCGGCCGTCAGGATCTCGATGTCCGACTCGCAGATCGCCGAGCGGTACGTGAAGATGCCCGCGCAGGTGCCGCTGGGAACGGTTCTTTGATCGGGGCGTACGGGGAGGGGGACGGGGAGCGGGAGCGGGCTGTTGGGTGGCGGGTAGGCGGCGAAGTTGGGTTTGTGTTCTGGTTTGGGGTGGAATGGGTGGTGGTGCGCGGTGTCCCGCGACATCAGGCGCATGTGGAGCCGGAGCGAGCAGTGGTCGATCAGACCGAATTGCGATTCGATCTCCGCGGTCGAGGCGTGGTTGGTGAAGCGTGTCGTGCGGAGGACGAGGAAGCTTTTGCTTGTGCTTGCGCTTGCGCTTGTGCTTGGGGGTTTGGTTTGAGGAGGAGGATGAGGAGGAGGGTTGGCTGAGGGCAGGGCGTGCATGAGGAAGACGTTGGATTCGGAGTTGGTCATGGGGGTTGGGGAGAGGAGCGGGTCCGCGGCGCGGTGCCAGGTCTGGACGTGCCAGTCTTTGCTGAAGGGGGTTTGCGTGAGGAGGCTGTGCGTTGTGTATTGGGTGTCGGTGTTATTGGTCTTTGGGGTGGTTGGGGGGAAGGATGAGGGTGGGTGGAATTGTTGCGATGCGTTGCGAAAGTCCCATAGCTTGTAATGCGTGAAGTAGCCCGGGTCGGGGCCGGAGATGAGGTAGCAGTCGCATTGCTGGGGGTCGATCGGGGTGCTGGTTTTAGGTGTTGATGCTGTGGTGCAGCGTGCGTTGCTGAGTATTGTTATCAGGGAAAGACTGGCGTGGATGGAGGTCAAGGAGAGTCGCATGGTGGCGGTGGATGTGGAGGTGGAGGAATAGGAAGGATGCTGAAGGAGTGACTGTGTGGGGTAAGTATAGAGCTGCAGACTGCAGACTGCAGATTGTCTGGCGACGAGGTTGTTTGGTGGCCTTTGGGATTGATATCTATGCGGTTATGATGGACATGCTTGTATCTACTCGGACATGACTTCCGAAGGCAGGCGCGGAGTGTTGGTGCAGTGACTTGCCGCATGCTTGGAGAATTATGATGTAGTTATAAGCTTGTATACAGCCACTGTGCTGGGGCAAGATAGTTGCAACACTTAGAAAAAACATATCGCGATATTGTGGCATTTGTTGGTAGGCCGGCCATGGAGTATATAAAGTGGCCCAGTTTGTATGGAGATCGATGCCCCCTCGGAACTACAGCTGCACCCCCCACCGTTTGCATGCGTGTTTCCGTCTCTGCTATGGCCGGTGGGACTGTAAGAACCTAGACTGAGTTATTGGTTTGACTATAGATGCGTTATATAGCTCGTGTCTACTAAGGTTAGTGGTCTATGACTACCGACAGGCTTACTACAAGCCAGAGCATTTACACTATACCACCGGGCTTAATAGGGCTCGTATCCACGCCTTTTTAACCTTAGGTTCTGAGTAGCCGTAGGCCTGCTCAAGCACGAATCAATATAGCTGTTGAACCTTAGAGCCTGATTATCTAAATTCGTGGATTTAGTTACGTAGCTACTGGTAGACCTGCTTATATAGCTGTTAAAGGTTCAATTTTATACAGCTGTTTGAGGTTGTTCAAATATCTTTCCAAGCACCAGTTTAATGTACTGTAGTTATATTGGTGGTGCTGATTTTGAGCTACGGCCTGACACTATGGGGGGGGGGTCTTGTACTATCATCCGACGAAGCACAAATCATGTGACTACTTTTTAGGGACACTAATCAGGTTGCTTAATGTTGTACGGAGTTTCAGCTTATCAATCAGTGTTCGTCATCCTGAGTTGCGAAGCAGTATAGAACGGGAATGATACAGTATGAAGTCAGTATGGGAACGGCGTAGGGCCTGTGGTTGCACTAAGCAGCGGTAGATACGAGAGGCAGCACAGGGCTGAGCAGCCAATCTGCAAGCGGAGACCCCCTCCAAGGCGGCGTGGCAAACATCATATCTCCTCTTAGTGATTGGCAGCAGGCAGCAGGAGGCAGTCAGCTGCAGATTGTAAGGCCTGCCAAGGGCCTGCCAAGCTCCCGACCTCCCGTTCCATTGGTATTGTCACCCTCCGTACCATACCGTTCACGGTGCATGGCCATCATGACGATTTCTATCTTCAATCCCAGCCAGAGACACACCAATTCGATCACCAATTTGATCTGGTAGATGCGACAGCGTACCTAATTTAGTATGACTGCGAATGACTCAGGATATCGAATTAGCATCATCAATTTCCATCCAGGGAATTGTGGTCAGTTGGTGCGTTGGTGACGAGGATGAAGGAACGAGGGGTCAGGCGCTAGACTGGGTTGGGAGAATCAGCCGGCGGGTGCCACGAAAAACGAAGCAGAGTAAGCCAACCAAGGGGGGTTGCGTTGCAAGATCAGTCAGTCCTACAGTCAGTCCTACAGTCAGTCCTACTCCTTCTCTCGCCTCGCCTCACCCATCCCGTGTCCCTTTCTTCTATCATCATCTCCCCCCAAACCAACCCACCACCATATTCTTCATCATACCCTGTGAATTTTATCTTCACAACATCCCACAAAGGTAATAAAATGGACCTCTTGTGAATTTCGGATCGGAAGGAGACCCAGAGCACCTCGAAGCCCACACATCATCGCCCACCATTAACCAGTTGTCGCGGTCGGCTCCCGACCACCCCTTGAATTCGCCATGACCACCACCCTGGAACGCAGTCTTTCTCGCACCTCGAGCATGTCGATACCGGTCTCGAGCCCGAGGTTATCTCTCGTACATGAATCCACACCCCCAATACTCTCCGATCCCACCCTGTCTCATATTCACGACCGCTTGACTTATCTCGACTCTCGCCTTTTGGAACTTCGATCCAGTGTCTTGACCAAGGATGGCTACGTCGACAGGCGTAACCGTGAAGACGAACATATCCGACGCGAATTCGAAGCCAACCGCTCCGTCTCGAATCGGATCGATCTGAACGTCGTCGCCCTGAAGACCGACGTCGACCAGTTGAAGTCGGGGATCTCGCAGCTCAAATCCAGCATCGGCCAAACCGGTAACGAGACCGTCTTCCTCCGCAGCGATGTCGACCGTTTGTCCAAGAACGTGGATCAGATCCAGTCAGATGTCGAACATCTGCAGACCGATGTCTGTGGATGCCGCGTCGAAGTCAGCAAGCTGCACGCTACGATCAGTCAACTGCGTACCGATTTGATCACTCTCCAACATGAGACGTCACGCCATCTGACGTCCGTCTTCAATCGGTTCTCTCTCATCGAGTCCCGCATGAAGCATTCGGAGCGGGTTCGATTCAACTCGCTGGCCCATACCACTCACGCCCCGATCACGCCTGTTCCCGTGGTGGAAGACGACGGATCATTACAATGGCCCGAATACTTTCCTCGTACTGTATGGCGGTTCTGGTGTCTTAAGAAAAGAAGTAGGAGTAAGTGCGATTGGCAGGTGAATTCCCCGCACTCATCTAACAATGTTCCTAGTCAATCGCTTGGTTCAACTGGCCGACTTCTACCAGCTTGGCGGGTATGAATATTGGGGCCGTATGCACCAGACAGAGCCTGTGTACGCCACCGCAACCGACAGTGACTCGAGTGACTCGAGTGACTATCCGTCCACTCTTACACGCGCGGAGGCTGTTCGTCTGTATCCTGAGGCTGCGCATCAGGCGCTGGCAGCAACGCTGGGGCTGGTTTATTACAAAATCCGCAACGAAGTTGGCGAAGGGATGACTCTCCACATTCGTCCTCCGAAGCGGCAGCAAGAAGAAGTTGCTTCGGCAGCTTCCAGTGCGAAGGAGAAGCCGGTGAAGATGCCTCGCCGACCGAACAACATGTCGCCCACCACTTTGAAGCGGCTCATTGATGGCCCATCCTTGGAGGCCAAGTCTTTAACGTCTGAGGAATCAGACAAACTGGGATGGAACGCTCACTCGGAAGTCTCCGATGATACCATGAGCAAGCTCAGAGGCATCGTGTCGGAGGAAGTCGGTACCTTGCTTCGAGCGCTGGAGCGCGGCCGGATTAAGCTCAGGTCTACGCGCCCTGAGCAACGGTCGAATGTCTCGCCCTCGGAGATCAGGTCCACCTTCCGCAACGGCAAGATCGCTGATGACGAACGAACCATTCCCGACACTGTTGCCACGGAGGTTGTCTCCGTCTCTTCAGGTGTTCCCGAGAAGGTGGAAGAGCCTGAGCTTCCCGACACTGCATCCGATGCTACCAGTCCATTGACTGGGATTGAGACTTGAGGGGCTCATCACAGCTACGAACAGTATCAGCAGGTTCAACTCTTCAGCCACACTTCTAGAGCCTATACCCATAGGCTCTACCTTGATGGCCGTCCATTGGACACTGGTTTTCTCCCGAGATAACGCACTGCAGTTGTGATTATCTCGTATGGATTCCACACTCGTTCGTGCCACGGAATACGCGCAGATTGCTTGCTCTGAGGCTTGACCCCTTTCTCAACGTCTTGGGTGTCGTGGCCTATGGGTAGAGGGTGTGTGGTATTGTTGATAAGCCATTCGATGTTCAAGGAGATCTTTGGTCTTGAAGGGCCGATGCCCACCAAAGAATGTTGATTCGCCCATCAACATTCACGCTAGATAGGAGTGGGAACGGCCCAGCTCCTTTGATTCACCTTGTCGAATCTGGGTACTACGTCTGCCAGTACAAGCGCCCTACTCGGCGGACCAAGCGGGCCGTGTAACCGGCCAAGTAGCAGTAGCCTTGTTGCTACGAGTGGCTGAGCGTCAGCCCGATCCTTGGCTAGATTTATGTTGTACCCCCTCCCTACCTTGACCAGGTTTCTGGAAGGTGTACAGCCTGCGCAAGCAGGCTTGGAGTGCCCAAGGGATTGCCTACAGCGTAACCTCATGACAAGTTAGATTATTTTGTTTGGCATCATTGGTGGGAGTTATTGACCATCGGACAGGTCTTCACCTGGCCGCAGCATTGAACGGCGTTTTTGGATTTCGTTGGGAATGACTGCTTATAGATACCCATGCTCTGTATTGTGTTTTTTAGCGATACTTGTTCTGATTCATTGAGCAATCAACTGATCTCTTGATTAACAAAGACCTAGGCTCGATCCGCTCCGAACGGACTGAGCCGAGTGTGCTACCAGACGATTCGACAACGATCGATCCTCCTACTAGAGGGTGCTCGCGGTTGATCCTCCCACCCAGATAAATGCCGTACAATCCTGCAATTATGGATCAAGCTAATAAGCAGCAAGCATGCCAGATCGATTGTTATAGGCGCCCTCATGATATGCAACTATGGCTAGGTAAATGTTTCCCAATCTTAATCTATGACAATGCCCCCGGTTTCCTGTCATCCTGTCCTAGACCTGCATCACATAAGCGCCGTCGGCTCGAATAGATCTTTCTTGAGCACTTCCAAGACCTTTTTCTCGTCGACATTCCCCAAGTCGATACCGGCAGGGGCCGGTTGATCGACCTCCGACTCCGTCGGACTCGCGCTGTCCTCGTCCACTGGCGCGTGGGTGCGAATATACTCGTCTTCCAGTAGATACCGGGCGTCGGCCCCCTGCGCGCGTAACGCATCGGGCGAGTCTGGTAGTACATAGATGGTAGGGAATTCGAGGACCGTGTGGCCGCGCAGGGCGGCGGTGAGCGTCATGCTGGGGGCGAGCGGGATCAGGACGGGCTGTTTGGTCGCTGTTCGCGGCCGGTGGAGGTAGAAGTAGACGTTCCGATGGGGGAGGATCGCGTGCGTTTCTTCTTCTTCGGAGGACGTGGTAGTGGGTGGGTGTGGTTTGTCGGTTCTGGTTAGTGGTGCTGTTGATTCAACAGTAGTGCTGGATTCGGTGGTTGCAGTGATAACAGAGGGAATATCTTCAGGTTGCTGAGTGACGTTCTCCGTTGTTGAAGAAGGCAGTTCCTGTTGTTGCGCTTGGCCCTGATCTTCTCCCTGCTCTTGGTTCTGTGTCTGTGTCTGTGTCTGTGTCTGCTCCTGCTCCTTTTCCTTCTCGCGTTCTTCCCTACTGAGAGGAAACGCTCGATCGTAGGAGATGGCAATCGGAACCGAATCCCTGCAGTTCCTCGTGCGCTTCTCCCCGGTCTCCCCTATCCACTCCACCGTCCACACCAAGCATTGCTGTCTGTAAAAGATTATAGAAAGTCAGCCACTCCTCCAAACTTCCAGCCACGCAACCAGTAGAAGAGTAAAAGCGACGGGGCCGGGAACGTACTTAGCAAACCACCTCGACCCATTCTCCTTATTCCGACTCATCCCCCTCGGCGCCCGAATCACCTTCACACCTGCATTTCGTACTTCCCGCAAGAACCCCGATTCCCTCTTCGCAGGGCCAGCAGCACCAGCAAAAGCAACAGCAGCACCCCTCTTCCTCTTCCCCCCAGCGCCCCCACCACCACCACCACCACCAACCTCCCCTCCCTGCCCATCCCCATCTCCCTCCACCCCCTCCCCTGTTCCCGTGCTAGAAGGCGAATGATCCAATCCCACGACCGCCAAATCCCCCACAAACCCGGTTGCATCCCCATCGACCCGGATCCCGCGGTTCTCGGCGTCGCGCCCGGCGCGCTCGATCGACCGCTCGATCCCCGTGATGAAGTTGAAGTCGCGGTCGAAGGCCGTCGCCGTGGCCAGCTCGCTGCGCCGCAGGTAGGCCGCGGGGTCGCGCACCCCGCTGCACTGCGACCAGAGCTTGTGGCGCCGCGTGCACGGCAGCGAGCAGGTGCGCGTGTTGCAGCGGGGGCAGCGGTATTTGGGGGGTTGGAGGTGACTGTATTTTTTTTCCATCCGAAGTGGTTTAGTGAAATGTGAAAGGAGATCTTGGGGGGTGGGTGGTATGGGCGTCGGGGGCTTACCAGATTGTGCAGAGGTCTGTTAGCAGGGAGTCTTCCTGTGAGGAGGACATTCTTGTTCTTGGGGGTGGGCTTTTGTTGTTGGGCTTTTGGATAGAGTGCTCTTCTCGGGTGTATGTGAAGAGTTATATATTTTCAGATGTAAGGAGAGGGTAGAAGGGTGAAGTATGACGCAAGCTTGTGAGAGAATAAGAGTAGCTGGTGTAGATTGAATGCGAAGGCGTTGATCCAGGCGCGGAGAGAAAAAAACTGATAAGTTGGAGATTGAGCCGTTGGATCCTTATCGCCTGGGCTTATCGCGGCGGAAGGGTCTTGGATGCCTGAGGCAGGTGATTCATGGAGCGGCCAGATGAATCGCCGAACAAGGCTTATGCTACGGTACAACTGCTACATACTCCCTGGCTAGCCTTCTGCACTTCTAGCAAGTGGCTGTGATACTGACAAAAGCTTCTCTGGCCGATTGCCAGATCTCGACAACCATGCTCGCAATGATGCGATTAGTGATCCGACCCAGTGATTTCTAATCTCGGCGTTTGCAACTCCCCGATACAAATGACGACATGAGGAGAATGCGGAGTATGCTTAGCGAAGTGAGAGTATATCTTCGACTCAGATCCAGACCTAGAATCTCTTCCTGTCCTCTCAATTTATCTTCGACTCAGTTATTGTCAAACCCAAACCCAAAAAATGGCCGCTGCTAAACCTTTCGCCATCGTCGCCGGCGTTGGCCCTGGAACGGTACGGTACCTCCCACACCTCTCCATACGGTTGCGATTTGCAGACTAACACAGATGAACAGGGCGCCTCCATTGCCCGCCGCTTCGCCAAAGCCTACTCCGTCGTCGTGCTCGCCCGCAACCCCGCCAACTACAAGTCCGTCGTCGACGAGATCAACTCCGCCGGCGGCCAAGCCACGGGCTTCAGCGTCGACCTCTCCGACACCCAGAACGTCAAGTCCACCTTCGAGCAGATCACGAAGCAGTTCACCGGCTCGCCGCTCGCCGCGGCCGTGTTCAACACCGGAGGTGGTCTCGTGCGCAAGCCGTTCCTCGAGCTGACGGCCGAGGAGTTCTCGTCCGGGTTCGAGTCGCAGGGGTAAGTAGTTAGACCATCTTCCTTTCCTCCCAACCCCAGACTCCAAGCTTAGAGCCGCACCTTTCTTTTTGTGGACGCGTGGGCTAACATCTCCCACAGCAAAGGAGCCTTCAACTTCGCCAAGGAGACCCTCCCGCTGCTCCTCCAGGCCACGAACCTTCAACACCCGCCGACCCTCATCTTCACGGGGGCGACGGCCAGCGTGAGGGGCTCGGCGAACTTCGCCACCTTCGCGGCGGGCAAGTTCGCCCTGCGCGCACTGGCGCAGTCGCTGGCCCGCGAGTTCGGGCCCAAGGGCGTGCACGTCTCGCATGTGATCGTCGATGGGGTGATTGACATCCCGCGCACGAAGGCGTGGACGTTCGAGCATGAGGATGCGAAGTTGGATCCTGAGGCGGTAAGTCATTATTCCCTCTTTGCGACCTGAAGATTCTGGGCCATCGATGGCTAATGTTGGATCGTTGGGACAGATCGCCGAGTCGTATTGGCACTTACATAGTCAGCCCCGCACGACTTTTGGGTTTGAGCTGGATCTTCGACCCTATGTTGAGAAGTGGTAGGACTGAGACTTTGCTTGTAAGGTAGAACGGAAGGTAGCTCGTTTGTCTGGGTAAATTGAAGTCCGCAAGGGTTGGCTCAGATGCCTAATCTTAGGACTTCATTAATGGTATAGTAGGGGGCAGTGTTCGGAGACAGCATGTTGATTAATCGAACCAATGGATCAAAACCTGACTGTTCATCTCTACGCACCACCAGCAAGCTGTGTAGGCTCTCTCTGCCAAGTTGTTAAATATAGAGAGAGAGGAGTCCGTAGTATAACGTCAGATCCGACATAAGTGAAGCCAGCACAAGCTGACTAATGCACCAAGCACAAAGAGCATAGCTGACCTCACCACCAAGCTATAGCTTCTCATCCATGACCACCGTTCTCCGCACCTCTCTCTCTCCAACATACTCACCTTCATCCGTATCTCCCCCCTCCACACAACTTTTCTTCTCCAAGTTCACCCAAACCTCACACACATCCCACCAGATTCAACCAAACATCACCTCCGCAGAAGCACCCGAAAAATGAGCGACCACAACCCCCCGGTCCCACCGGCGGGGACGGAACCCCAGCCTCAGCCCCAGCAATTCCCGCCGAACCGGCTGAGCCCGCCGCGGCTCCTGCGGCTCCCCAACGGCACGACGACCAAACAATACCTGGAGCACGCCTTCAAGCCGCTGCGCGTGGACGAGTCGCTGATCCGCAACCCGAACCCGTTCACCCTGTACATCGGCCTCTGGGGCCGGACGAACTACGTCGCCAAGACGGAGATGGGCGCCTACCGCCGCCTCGAGAACATGCGGCGGCACACGGGGCGGGCGCCCACGCAGCCTGAGATGGACGCGATGCTGGAGATGATGGCGCAGAGCGCCCGCCGCAGCTGTCTGGGGCTGCCGCTGGGCGCGCTTGCGGGCCTGGCGCACCAGGCCTACGTGCTGCGCTACTCGGCCGACTGGGAGGCCTACTTCGCGCCGCAGGTCCAGGAGACCCCCGCCGGGAAGAAGGTGCTGACGCTCGAGGGGTTCAAGCGCGGCTGGCAGATGATGGGCGACGCCGGGGCCATGGGCGGCGGGCGCCCCATGGCCGCGGCGCGGTTGTTCAAGGTCGCGGTCTGGACGCTCGTCGCGGATTTCGTGGCCAGTTCGTGGGCCACCTTCGGCGAGATCGCCATGTGGAGGGGCGATGCCCGGCTCGAGCGCGTCAGGGAGGAGATGGAGCGCTCCAAGCACGCCGTGCGCTTGAGTACTTCGCCTGGCGCGAGGGCGGTCTCCGGCGGCGATACCTCGGAGGAGGGTCAAAGGAGGCGCGAGACTTCGGCGGCTTATGCCCTGGTTGTCGCTGGGGAGCTGAGGGAGGGGCCGAGCGAGGTGGATGGTGCTGGTGCTGGTGATGATGGATCGCCCGTGGCCCACGGGATGGAGGAGGATTATGCTTTCAATAGCGGTGGTGGTGGCGATGAGCATGGTTCTAGGACGAACTCCTACAGTGAGGTTACACCACGCGCGAGGGCTTGGAATACGAGAACGCAGCAGCAGCAGCAGCAGCGGCAGACTCCCTCCTCCTCCGGTGGTGGTGACTTCTTCGACGACGACGATGATGCTAGTCCCGTTGCGGTGGAGCATCGCAGACCCGCGGGCGGAAGTGCGTGGGATCGGCTGCGGATGAACGCCGCGCGACCGCAGTCCAGGCCGCAGCAGACTGAATGGTCTCGGGCCGAGCGTGAGAGCGAGAGTGAGAGCCACAGTGAGCGCGAGAGGGCTCAGGCGGACTTCGACCGCATGCTCGATGCTGAACGGAACGCGGGGTCGGATTCGGGAAGGAGAAGTGGCAGATGGAGCAGTTGGTAGTTAGAGAAGGCTTGTGCTCCGAAATCATGAACTGTCTTCAAGCGCTTTTTATCCCTACGAGTCCTGGCTACCCTACCAGATGCATGTGTAACTTAAGTTTTCTTCTGTATGGATACGACCGAATCATTTCATCTCACCTTCAGATGCCATCACCTCTGTCTAGTCGCATTATTGTTTGACCTCCTTCAGAAGAAAGCGGCTGTGCTCACACGGCAATGTAAGCCACAGAGAGACTCGCGTCAATTGAAATTGCGGAAAAGGGACTGTTCTGAGATACGGGATAGTGGTTAGGAAATGTAGAGAAATAAGAAAAGTAATCGGAGTGATAAGACGAGTAAATTAGGATACACCACTCCGGTGACGTGATCAGACATAGCACATTCATCTTGGTTATCAGAGGCAACGATACATCAAAAATAATACATTCCCAGGAACGGGATGGCGGAAGGTTGTGCTGTATATTAGATGAGAATCACAGAACAAGAAGCAAAAGCAAAAGCAGAACAATCAATTCGTTAGTCATAAGGGTTCAACTACTGTGATCATCGAACCAAAGCATGAGCCAGGTGGCGGTATAGGTTGCTCTATAGTCGACCATCCATCACCTGCACGCTTTCATAAGGGATGTGGATCTCCGCAGACACCCAGGGCTCGCTGCCCTTATTATGCCCCACCCGTGTCAAGTTGCGGATTTTCGTGCTTAAGCTCTCATTCACGCTGCGGCCTCGTCGATGCTCAAAGGACATGCGGCGGCGTTCCAAGCCGGGACGGACATCAATGCTCAGTGCCGGGGCGGCGGTCATCGCGCGAGGGAGAAGCCGTCCAAAGTCTTCGTTATCGAACGCGATATCGATGGTGCCTGAGGACTGGCGTGGTGAGGCCAAAGGAGGAATTGGTGGCGGCGGAGGTGGCGGCGGATTCAAATGTTGAAGCTGCGGCAAAATGGGAGGGTTTTCGGCCTGCTGCACTAAAAGTCCATTCTCGATGGTCTCTTCGATGCTCACTGTGACAGGCGAACCGCCATAGCTATTTCCACTATTCTCTCGCTGATGACCCTTACCCCGTGACCGACTTGTCGAGCGGCTTCGGGGTAACCGTGGGTTGAATCGTGGATGCATTGGTAAGTCAGTGGGCACTAGGCCAGGTGGCTGACTTTCTGGGACCGGGACGGACATCGAACGGCCAATTCTCTCTGCATCTCCTAGATATCTTGCGTCGCTCAGAAGTATAGTACTATCGGGCACGGGGGGAACTGCTACAGTCTCCTCGTAACCGTTGTACTTGGGGTGACGCATAGCTCGAGGAGTCGCTGGCAAGCCATAGGGCACGTTCGACTTAGATGAGGCCGACTCGGAACTGCTTGGACCCTCCGGCGACCCTTTACTAGCAGTAGTCCTGTGTCGACCTGGAGTGTGAGGTGTGAATGACGATGACACTGAGAATGGTGGGCAGTCCGGAGCAGTGCGGGCGGATTGTAATTCTCCGGGAAATGGAATGTTCGGCGCAGATGGATTGCGTGCCAGTGACAGCCGACGTGCCTCAAGTTCAGCAGCTGCAAGTTGCTTTCTCCTCTGCTCTACGAGAGCAGCTTGACTGTGAGCCATCGGAGGCGCCTCGCGTGCTAAATGGGCCACAAAATCCTTGATCTGTTGACTGCTAACATCAGCGTACATGCCGTCATTAAACTTCCCGTCCTGTAGCATCACAACAGGGCCTTGATCTGTATTAAGAGTGACATCCATCTCAGAATGGCTGCGAGAGTCTGCTCTCGGACGTCTTGCTTCGTCTCCTTTCATCCCTGTGTTCTTGTCCGGACGCCGGCTGCCGCTTCGCTGGCGAGTCCGCAAACGCTCCCTATCACTCGCCACGAGTCTCATACTTTCATCTGGAGTCATTGTAGGAAGTGGAAGCGGCGACGAAGGAGATCTCATGCTTGATCCTTGGCGGTCCATGCTACGTCCACGCTGCGAGTGTTCCGTGTTGATACGGCTGGCGGTATTGCGGCTTGCTGAACGATTTTGGCGGCGTTCGGAAGAATTACGAGAGCGTGGCTTCCGCACTCTGCTAGCACTGCGCGTTCGAGACGATGCTTTGTTCGCGGCGTTCGCATTGATCCGTGCCAACTCTTCAGGTGACATTGGAACTGGAGAAGATGGCGAACGCTTGGCAGGTTGTATGTACCTTTTTTCGTGTCGCCCACGGGTCTCTTGAGATTCGTTCCTGGACTGGTACCTCCGACTGGAAGCTTGGCTCACCGCATCATCCGTATTTCTTCGTCCGCGCCCAGGAGTATTCACAGTTGGAGTCTGATACTTATGCGAATGATAGCTCGCTTCACCCAAACTACTGATATACTGATCAATACTCCGACTGCTCACGCTCGGGCTTCTGGCGGAGCTAAAGCTGTTCAATGTCGATGCTGGACTTCTAAAATTGGCCACCGGATTCGGTTGTTCTTGTACATCAGCCTGAGAGGAGCTGCCCAGATGGAGCTGCAAGCCCTCTGGCTTCCGTTCTCGGGTACTTGCCCTACTGTCAGAGCGCTCCTTCAGCGCCTCGAAGACACCGGCAGCTGGAGAAGGAAGGCCTTTAATTCCTGCGAATTGGTCAGTTGCTGCCTGAACAGCAGTTTGAGGGCTGGGTTTGTATTCTTCCGGATCGTATCGGGCAGATGACAGTAAGCCGAGACCGTCGCCATCTTCGTCGTCTTGTTGTTCCTGTGCTTGAATCTCCTCGTTCTCCGAAGCCGAACCATAGTCCATAGCAAGCTTATTGTTATACATGGCTGAGGTGAAAGTCGGTGGATGAACGTCAATCGGCGTTTCCCCTATGGAAGGAAGGCGGCGCCTGTTAAACGCAGGGGTGTTTGTCCGTCCGTTCATTGCATTGTTCAAGCTCTGAATATTATTGAGCTTGTAAGAGCCAAAGCCACCTGGCGATAGAGCCGATTCCACCACGGCCGACTCCGCTATAGGCGTGACTCCAGGAGCATTTGTTGGCGTTCGGTCATCTGACTTCAGCCCGGGGAAGTTGTATTTGTGGTTCGGTTGCGAGTCAAATGATGTGATCAGCTTGAGAGCTGGCGCTTTCAGAGCTTGCCTGGTATTGGTAGCTGCAGGTCTCGCTTGCGAGCCTGGGACCATCAGATTGGATGGGTTGTTCGCATATGGTGGCTCGGGTGACTTCATCTGCGGTCTCTGGGTTATCACCTCGGTGAACGACGCCGCCTGTTGAGCCGCAGGAGAGGTCCATGGTTCCGATGGTTCAACACCAGTACACATGAAACACCGAATTGCCAGCTGCTGTTGTGAATGAGATACCACGTGTTCACCCCATCGACGGACAAGATATGACTGGCGTTGCCAGTCCGTGGGCATGGCCAGACATGTCATAAGTATTGCTTCCAGATAGTAATTTTGAGAAACGTAGACCTCAATTGCGTCGTTCCGATCTCCCAGTCCTAACAATATGGTGGCCGCTGTGTGAATATCGCCGATCTCCAGCAGCTTCTGGACGAAGGCTTGCCCGAATTTATTGGATTGGGACTCTCCGGACATCTGGCTGAAAGCGAGAAGCATCCAGTCGGTAATTGTCGCAGGCCCGGAGCCGATCATCGAAACCATGTGGTCAGTGTCGGACTCCCCAAGCCATTGAGCTAACAGAACGGCATTATGGCTCGTTGGAGGGTGATGGCTAACTATTGGAAATGTCAGTTAACTCACGGCAATACTCAAAAATCTCCTGAACCTACGTTCGTCTCGAATCAATCCTTCAATGTCACCGTCAAAGCCAAAAACAACGCTCAACATCTGTTGGCGTAGATCATCTGGAGTCAGGCGAGATTCATCAAGTGGCTGGTGATGTCCGTAGGGCACATCATTCAGACGTGCGCGCGTAAAGGGGAACAGATCGCTGGGTCTATCTGCAGGGCTGAGTTGGACCTCATTTCTCAGACGCGAGCCTCCAGCACGAGAGCTTTTAACTGAGGACATTGAAACAGACGATGCGTAAGCGTATGAAGCTCCAGACGCCTGGGGGGTATCTCTTCCGGATGCAGATGTCAATGAAAATGACGTCCCGCTTACTCCTGACCTGCTCTGTGGCGAGAATGTGCCCATTCTATATTTCCCCGAAGATGCCTTGGAACTGACCGAATTCGCATGGCTGCGAGAAGAAACCGGACTGCTCAATTCCGCACGTTGCTGCCGAACAGTCTCAATCCCGTTCATGTCGAAGGGAGTTCTCCTCGAATTGTATGTGTTTGCAGATTCTTTTATCGTAGGTGGATCTTCAAGAGTCCGTAGCTTCGCTTGCTCTTGGGGTAAGGACATGACATTGGCCGGGAGATGTTGTACGTTGGCCACCATTGCTGGTGCTTCGACATCGTACTGCTGGACAGTGAATTGCGGCCCTAGTGTGAAAAGTGTCGCCGTTGGCCCGTAGTTTGCAAACCCGCGAGGGTTGTCGATCGTAGGGACTGGCTCGTATGTGACATGTTTCGTCCTGACATCCCATGCCCATGTCTCTCTGTTATTTGGGCCATTAGCTACCGAGTGTTTGCCAGATGCAGGCCAGATGAGGTAGACCTACCCATCAAGATATTGTACAATTCTTCCGTTCTTTGACCAAGCCATCCATTTTGGCTCTGATGGTGGTGAGCCATCTGACCGCTTCAACACCCTGATGACTCGAGGAGGTTCTTTTCCTGGCGGCTTGGCAACGCTCCACACCCTCAAATCACCATTTGCCGATAGTGTCGCTAGCATATCAGATTTCTGCTTGGAGGAGGAGGCATGCCAGGCCAAGGAGAGTATGGATGACGGTCCTCGGGAGGTGGCCATAGTATGTAAAATTGTGAACGTCGGGTGGAGGGTAGCGATCATTATAGAGCCATTCTGGTAACTAAAAGAAGGTCTGTCAGCCTTGAATACGGACAGATACTTGGTTTGATGGATACCCTATTGCGTATGTTCGACAGTCTGTGGCCGGTGCAAGAGCGGTTATAGGATCGAAGATGGTGCGACAGGAGATGTGCTCCGAGGTAGACGGTTCAAAAATGATAACATCTCCCTTTTCGTTTCCTTGAAACGGTGTCAGTCGCCTCGTTTCCAATCCGCATGAGAAGTCGTATACCTACCGAAAGCGACGTTCCCATTTCGCATCCAGGTGGCAACTTTGAGTTGTTCGAACGATGCAAACCTTGCAATCACTGTCCCTGTAAAAATATCCCAAACAATTGCAGTTTTACCGACATCATAACTGAGCACTAGTCTCCCAGCACCACGCTCACTGACATTGTCAACCGAAATGAACTCAACATCCTCTTGGTGGTTTTCAAAGCGTCTCTCGAGTGCCAAGGTATCATGGTGAAGACAGGAAATCACGGAGCCTTGGGCGTATAGGAAAAGCGACGCCGTTGATGCACATGGTTCAAACCGAGAAGTCGATGCTTGCGGTGGCGGGATCATGGTCGGCGCTGGTGGTTTCATTGCCGAGGGTCTCGAGTCTGTAGTCATTCCGGTATTCCATGACAAGTCGACCATTTCCGAAGAGCACACTTGTGAGTCAAGCTTGTCCTTCCGAATGTGGCTTCCTACCCTTCGGCTCGGCCAGTTCTCGTGCGTAGTGCAACGGAGGGGGGGGGGCAACAGCAGTCGTTTCTCGAAAGATGATGTTCGCGATCTGACGCAGAGTAGGCCCGGCAGTGAGCGCACAAGAGCAAACTAGGTGATTGACACTCAGATTACCATGCTTTTGAATGCTGATACTTTTGTTCTGCGACTCAGTATGCAGTATGGATTGGGTGTTGGCCTGGCCCACAAGAACGGCTTTCGCACGCCTCCGAGTGATTAGCGGAATAGAAACACAGAACTAGTGCCGATGAATAAGGATATAAAGAAATGGCTGGGAAAAACCACAAAAGAATTTTCAGAACAAGGCCGTGGACAAAGGTATGGAGAATAATCAAGAGGTGGGGGAGGATTAGAGATTCTTGAAGCCCTGGAAATGATCAAATTGAACCTGGTAAGATATGCGGACGCACAACAACGCAGACAATAGCACAGAACGATGCAGTGAGAAAGACTAAGCAGGCTACCACGTTTGGAACATACACTATGCACGAGGTATGAAAGAGGCTTTGTGACAAGTCGACAGGGGCTGAAGTTTTGTTTAAAAAAAGACGTTCCCTGTCCAGGAGAATCCGGGGTTTACAACGGAGAAGTCCAAGAGATAGTTGAAAAAGCACAAATTGTACACCTCGTTTTGTAAATTATTAATCTCGGATGGCGCCAGCCTCTATCTCCGCGCCGTGTGTATCTAGACGTGCCTATAGGGTCTGAGACGTCGCAGAGGTAACGGCCACAGTCGATCAAAATATCGAGACTTCAAGCAATGGGATTAGCGCCAAGGGGAGTTGACGGCGCTTCCGAGGACCGGGATGTCACCAGCATGAGAGAGGGGGGGATTATTCTGGGACATAATTAGCGGACGATGGTCACGAAGACCCATCGAGCGGCATTAAAAGCTGTCGGTGGCCCTCGCATGGCACATCAACTAGCATGCAGCAACGGCACAAGAAAAGCATGGGACAGCCAGTCGACCTAGCAGAGTCCGATCGCTGTCCTAGTGAGATTCCATTCGATACTATCGGTAAGTTCTCGGTGGAGCAGCAGGATAGCCAGTTACGGTGATATCTGGGGACCTGATCTAACCATCAAGATGAGGCGCAGTTTCTGGAGAGGGAGGAGAGAGAGTTTGGGACTATCGGAATCAAGTTAAGTCCGCAGGTCCAATTGTTGCACGGAAATGGGGAGTGAGTGTAAGACTCTCGTCCTAACTAGGCAAACTGAGCGGGAGTGAGATAGAGCATGCCAGTCAACGGTGAGTTCTGCATGGCTCGCGGCGGCTGTCAGGGACCTTGACGGGCGGATCAATCTCGGGGGAGCCCCGCGTGATTGGTCCGCCCGGTGCAGAAGGCGTTTCTTCAAGCCTAAGCTGCTGCAGGCCTCATCACTCCCACACACCAATCACCCGCCCTGAAAGCTCCGTTGTCGCTGGTCAGTAAGTAGGGCGGCGCGTAAAAGGCCATCCTGGCACCTGAATGGTTGCTCGTTGCAGCAAAGCCCAGCAACTCTGTGTCAATTGTAGAATGTTGCTCCCGAGGAAAGGGTCATTGCCAGCATCAGGCGATGTGCTGGTGGTTATCGAATCACGTTCTACCCATGACAATGTACACGTTACCTGAGGAGACCAAGGTTAGACCTAGAAACGCTAGGACTCAAGTACAGACTTTCCTGGCAAGACAAGGTCTGTGCTTCGAAGGTTTGGGGGATTTATTTGGACGAATCCAGCGATAATGAGATATTTGCATACGGCCAATGAACTCCATGTCGGGCTTGATCCCGACCAACATGCATGGTTGGTCACTTGCAATGTTAAGGCAGACCGAGCCGTGTATGCCTATCACCGGAGCGAACTGCGACTGTAACACGGGAAAAAAACCGTCCTCGACATTGCCGGTGACTATGGCATCGCACGGTGGTATAGAAATTGAACGTCACTGTGATTGTGCCACCTCAACATCACCTTCAAGCGATCTCGAGCGATATGACATGGAACTAGGACGATGACGTACGGCGTGGACGAGTCTTCCATAGTGGGACATTGGTAGTGGCGGGAGAAATGTGATGTGACTAGCAGTGTGACTAGTGTCGTGACTGGCTTTCTTAGCGTCTGTGAGAAATCCCCAATGATTGCGGGGTTGGATGAGGCGCTCGGTCCACTGTCTTAGATGTTTAAAGAGGCGGTATAGCTGCCATCGAGAGTGTGTACTCCGGAGCAGAAGCTGACTTTCTATAGGCGGAAAAGTGAGTATTGTTTATATCGAGGTATGCTGAACTAGAAGCGGATGCTGCAGCCTGTATGACTTGACCATGGAGCGGCACGAAAGAATTGGCTAGATAGTGACGGGATGTAGATACAGCCTGGGACTGGACTGAAGAGGTCAATGCAGCCAGTTGATTGATTAAGAAATGGTCCATGACTTGACGAGTCGATACTCAGTACCGTGCATTCAGGTAAACGGGCAGTTACGGAGTACTATTCTAGCTACGTATTCTCGGCCGGGCCTAAGCGGGGCGCGATAAGGCGGAGGGTGAGCACACACGCTAATCTATTCCTGAGGATCACATGACCCTGCATAATTCTGCCGGTGCTTTCCTCCGCGGCGAAAAATCGGCCCGTGATATGAATTTCCGCCATCTCCAAAATCTTTTGGCCTCTACCAAATCATCTTAAGGAATAATTAAGTTTCAAGGAACAGTACGATATAGCCTGTTCTTTTCTTCGATCGATTCCAGAAATCTGGCTCTACCACTACCACATCTCTCACTAAAGGAAACATCACAATGGGTGTGCAAAAGAAGACTCGCAAGTTTGCGCAGGTCGGTCCGCGCCCGGAGTCCCCGAAGAGAGTTCAATTTTGACCTCCCATTGCCAAACAGATGAAGCGCACCATCAAAGCCCGCGATGAGCGCCTGAAACCCGATAACAAGAAGCAGGAGACGCCCAAGGAGAACGAGCTGACCCGTCACATCCCCGTCGCGCCCTCGAACATGTTCTTCGCCGCCAACACTGCTCTCGGCCCTCCCTACCACGTTCTCGTCGATACCAACTTCGTCTCGCACGCCATCCGGGCGAAGCAAGATCTCCTTACCTCTATGATGGATCTGTGAGTTTGTGTGAATCTCAGTTGGTGGCAATAGGGATGATGCTAATACTTGTGGAACACAAAGGTTATATGCGAAATGTATCCCGACATTTTCGGATTGCACGATTGCCGAATTGGAGAAACTGGGGGAAAAGTACCGGTTGGCGCTCCGGACTGCCAAAGATCCCAGATGGGCTAGGGTGAAGTGCTCCCACAAGGGCACGTATGCAGATGACTGTATCGTGGATCGGGTGAGTGGAGACTTTTTTTTGTGGCAGTGTGTCATAGCGCGCTAAGTGTCGCCGACTCTAGGTGTCGAAACATCGCATTTACATCGTCGCGACCAACGATAAGGATCTGTGTCGTCGCTTGCGCAAGATCCCGGGTGTGCCGATCATGAAGGTCGCAAGAGGGAAGTTCACGATCGAGAAGCTGCCCGACTCTTTGGACTAGATGCGCCGACCCATTCTGGAAGGGTCCGATTTGGACGACAGATATCATTTCTTCTTGATACCACTTCATCGCACGATACTGCACGACTACACGACTCGAGTACGGATCTTCACACCGACCGTGCCCAGGGCACTTCCTCGTCTAACGAGATGGCACCTTGTCTGGCAGACCAGGTTGGCCACCACTCGACTCCATGCATGAATTCAGTCTGCAGGATACAACGAGACACGCCATACGAAGCTTGCGAGTCACGTCACACAACCATAACGATACCCGAGGGATGATATTTTGTGGGGCATGCATGGTAGATAATTGAGGGTGGCTTGATAGCCTTGTCAAACCAGAACCTAAATAGAAGATCAGAGCACAATGAAGCTTCGACGCATATACCGGCAGATACCAGCCATTGGCAACCTCGGTCGTAGTATGCATAGCTCGTATCATGAGTCACCAGGCTCGTTTCATAAGCAGCCAGCTCCAGCATGCGGGGAAACAGCAGCCTTATCTATACCGATAACCCCGCTCGACTCCAGTCCATCAACAACCACCGCTACAACAGCCACCATCTTGAACCTCAAAACCACCCACCCCCAAGCACACAAATTCCCAAAAGACCCCTTTCCCAGCGCCGCCAAAAAACACAATGACCACCCCCCCAGAACCCGAAACAATCGTCATAATCGGGTACGTCCCCATCCCCTCAGCTCCTTCCCCTCATCCCATCCCTCCCACACCCAAACTCACCAACCAACCAACCCACTAACCCCAAACGAATGATCCCACCATCAGAGCCGGCGTCCTAGGCCTCAGCACAGCCCTCTACCTCCAATCCCAATCCCACACGGACACAAAAATCCTCCTCCTCGCCCGCGACCTCCCGCACACCACCTCCCTAAACTACACCTCCCCCTGGGCGGGCGCCCACTACCGGCCCGTCCCCGGCACCACCCCGCAGCACCACCGCGAAGCCCTCCAGGCCCGCCGCACCTACACCCACCTCAAGGCCTTGGCCGCCGCGCAACCGGGCGCGGGCGTCGCGCGCTGCCCCGCGGTGGAGCACCTCGAGCAGCCGCCGCCCGAGTACCTCGATCCAGAGAGTGTACAAGCTGCGTATGCCCACGTGGATGGGTTTCGGCGCTTGCCGGGGCACGAACTGCCGGCGGGGGTGCGGTGGGGGGCCGAGTATGAGACCGTCGTCGTGAATTCGCCGGTGTATTGTCAGTGGATGCTGAGGGAGTTTGTGCTGCGCGGGGGAGAAGTGAGGGAGTACACGGTGGGGGATGTGCGGGAGGCGTTTTTTGTTGGGGCAGAAAGGAAAAGGAAAAGGAGGGTGAGGACGGTGGTGAATTGTTCCGGGTTGGGGTTGGGGGGCGATGAGAGGGCTTTTATTATTCGAGGTAAGAGGGATTCAACTACCTACCTGTGGGATGCCTTCCTGCTCGGCTTTTGTGGGGGTTGTGGTGGTGATGGTGGTGGTGGTGGTGGTGGTGGTGGTGGAAGCTCTACTTGGATCTATCTATGCTGCTGACACTCCCCCCCAAATGTCTAGGACAAACCTGTTTAGTTCGGAACCCATGCGCCGTGACCATGACCCGCCAGAATAGTGATGGGTCGTGGTCTTTCTGTATCCCCCGGCCGCTGGGAGGCGGCACGATCATCGGGGGCACCAAGCAGCCGCATGACTGGGATCCGTACCCGTCACCGGAGACGCGAGCCCGAATTCTGGCGAATGCGGCCAAGTGGTTCCCTTTTGCGGAGGGGAGTGAGGGGAAGTTTGATGTCATTCAAGATATTGTGGGGCGGCGGCCAGCCAGAGAAGGTGGCATGCGGATTGAGGTCGAACGGCTGGAGGCCGGCGATGGTCAGCGCACCGTTGTTCATGCGTATGGGGCTGGTGGACGCGGCTTTGAGATCTCCTGGGGTGTAGCTGAGGATGTGTTTAAGCTCATGGCGGAGCATGGTCTGGTCCAGCAGAAGGCCCTGCTGTAGGTTACGGATTGAAACCGTGGCATAAGCACTTATGATCGCGACAACAGTAAGCCCTGAAATTTGTGGCTTGAAATTTGTGTACATTATAATTAAAACTCCCTTCTCCATCAAACTGTTTTGTATTGACAAATAAGCTCGAAGAACAGTTCCGCATGTGAGAGAAAGGAAAAAGACATAAGCTGCCAAAGAACGCCCTCGTCCTCTATGAAGAAAACCAGTATGCCAGAACATTAGTTCCAGTATAAGAAACTTCCAGGCGGTCGCTGAAGCACCTCACCACTTAATAGCAGTAATCGACCCTTTAGAAACCTGGAAGAGGTGGCAGAGGCGCGAAAAGACTGGGCTTGCCACTGCAGATGTCTCTATGATCAGCTGGCATAGACAGGTTCTGCAAGTGGTCCGGTGCTTCAATGATCACGGCCATGAGACGTGTTTCAACATGGAATTCGATATGGCAATGGAACATCCAGATACGTAAAGGCTGCCCAAGTTAGCTTATGGGAAAGAATGCGCGATGGCTGGGTACTTATCTGGATTCATCGCCTTGAAACGAAGGACAGCATGGCCCTTGGGCTCGACCATAAGAGTGTCTCGTCGCGATGGAACTGCCGAGATATTGCCATAGCCGTTGAACGCACCACCGTTCGGGTATGTACGTTGAAGGATCTGGAAATCATGTCCATGTAAATGCCAAGGGTGCAGGTTGTTGTGGTTGTTGTTGATTACAAGCTCCACGATGTCACCATACTCGACCACATATTGGTTGATGGAACCATATATCGATGGGTCCAAAGACTCTTCACTGCCGGCAGACAAGGCTGTATACAGGGTAGGCTCCTTGGGGGTTTCGTATGTGTTGCCGTTGATAGTGTAAGTGGGAACACCGTCCACCTGGGCATAGTTGAAGTCCAAAACGATTTGTCGGGAAACTGGCTCAAGCAGCGGAAGGCCATCTATCGGTGTGAGCGTTACGTCATCCAAGAACTCCAGACTTGCGTTATGAATCTGAATATCTGGGGATGGTAAGAAGGGCGCATCTTCGTTGTACATCAACCATGCAGTGCCGTTGGCATTGTATCCTTCAGGCATCTCGCGGTTCTCTCGGATAAACATCTCGTCGATATCAAGGCCGTCCCAGATTGCGTAGTTCCTACTTGTATCGTTCTTTGTTGTTAGAAGTAGGTCGAGGCGCTGCCCAACAGTCATTCGAAGATATTGAGGCGTCGCGAGTTTCGGTTCCACGAGTATTCCATCGGCTCGGACGACAGTCAGATCGTGGTCCTCAACAATGAACGCATGTCCGGCCCAGTTCCCCATGCAGACAACGTGGATGAGATAGGTCTTGTTGGGCTTAACCGGAATCTTGGTCCCGACTGCATCATTGAACAGGACCGCATCTGGCAACGGCTCTAGTCCAGCCGGCCCGTCCGTCGGATAGACGTAATCTTCCGTGAGCTGAGGCATTTGTCTGTTGTACCAATCCGAAAGTGTAACAGTGATCTCCTCGTCGTAATGGAAAGGTAATGGCGCCGTGTCGTGAACAACAATCGGTCCTCGGATTCCATCGGGATACTGGCCTTCTTGGTGGGAGTGATACCAATACGTTCCGGTTTGATTGACCTGTTTCGTGTGTCAGTAACGCCACCAGAATCACCAAGTTAGAGTAGAGCTCATTACCGGAATAACGTATCGCATGCGCTGCTGTGGTTTGATCGGGCATTGAGTTATGTCAGGCACACCGTCCATGAAGGTATTGTAGTTCTGATGAAATCCATGCCAATGGATTCCGGTGGATTGGTTTCCGAGGGCGTTGTAGACATCTACCACCAAGTTGTCCCCAATGTGGACGTCAATCTGTGGACACGGCCATTGACCGTTGATTCCGATGATGGGTCGCTCAACACCATTTGGTGCTGCGTTGACCCATGTGATATTCCAGTCGAGATACACGTTCTTGCCGAATGCTTCTTGTACGAGCCCCGTCAGGCCCAGAAGCAAGAAGGTTCGGAGCATGGCCACTACCGTGAGTTTATCATCCACGAAGAATGAGGTTGATGAGCGAGGAGTGCTGAGTATATACGATTAAAACTTGAAACTGGAAAATGAAGGACGAAAATTAGCTAGGATAGAAAATCATTCGAGGACGTAAGTGTATGCATATCAATACGCACACTGACCCGTCTCGGCTCGGTGTCCATCCAAACAAACACGTACCTGAATAGACCGTGATTGAAAATCGAAAAGTCGAGCCAAGCACAAACGAGGCACTCCTACCTAGCACTCGGAGATTCTTGTAAAACACCGTAGAATGCTAACATGCAACTTTCGTTTCTGCAAGGGGCAAGGTTAGGGACCATCCACCACCACAGCTCCAGCCAGCCAAGGAAATTGGCCCCCCATGTAGATTCCTTCCTATTTCACCCTTGCAAAGAATTTCCGAGTCATGGTTGCGTAGAGCATTGGTGGATTTGACTTTTCTCATACACCGAATGATTGATGCCTAGTGGCGGACAGGCCGAGTATGAAGGAGTCGAGACAATGGGTTCTCGCGAATGACAATGTGAGAAACCACTGTTCCACAGCTCATTTCACATGGCATTTTCACGACATTCGGACTATTTAGCGGGGATTTCGGACAGTCAGATCAAGTCACCAACCCCAGGCTGATCTCCCAATATATAATTGGGCTTTGATTGATTGACTGAGACATGGGCCTTCCAATCGCACAAAGCAGCGATTGGCTCCACTCGGCAGCTCAGGTTCTATCTGCAGGGGACTATACGGAAGGCCCGTAGAAAGAGTAGTCCGTACGAGTATACTCGTATAGAAGCATAAGCAAGATGATCTTGGAAGTGGCAATGGCCAAGAGAGGTAATCGATATTGTTCTAAGTTGCTGGGACGAGGTCCCGGTCTGGATCGATGCTTTCCAAGAATAGCGGAATGGATGACCACAAAGCCACCAATTTTAGACCGTTGTCCATTCTGGCAAAGTGATGATGTCAAATACCAAGCATTGAGCTTGATTTGGGGTTGTCATATCCGGGTTGTCTTTCAGTCGTCCGTCCGTGGGCTTAAAGTGGCACGTTTGCTGGACGTACGAGTAAGACAGACAGTGCACATCAAGGTCCAAGAACAACTCCAATCCAGATTAATTTAGTCTCATCAAAAGAAAGTAGGTTCCTGGAAGGGGTCAAGGTCGTTCCCATACAAGGGGTAATGTGATGATTGAGTTAGCCGTATGAGGCAAGGGAGTTGTCAGGGCCGGGATGGAAACGACGGTCGAGTTGAACGATGTTCCATGCGGTGGATAGAGTTCCCGTGGAGCGAGCTTAATTTCTACCTTGGTTGACTTGAATACGACCAAATCCCCTGCTTACAACTTCTTTATGCTCACCAAAACTCCTTATTATGAAGTCCTTACTTCTAGCATGATAGACAATAAATGTTCACTCACATTTGGTACTGTACACATACTGAATTCTAATTCAACTCTCCTAGGCCGTCCTCACAACCACGGAAAAGCTCGCATTGGCGTCGCTTCCCCCAACGAAGTAAGAAGAGACTGGTTTGATGGCATCCTTACAGTCGGCACAAAATTTTTGTGTATGAGGCAAACTCGACCTTACTTGGCCTTTGCATCCTCAATTCCTGGGACACAATTATCTAGACAGGCTTTGATAACTTGCTGGTATGCTAACCTGGTATATGTGACTACAACTTTGTATAACCCACTGTAGGCTTGTCCTTCTCTTGAATCCTACTGCTTCCTTATCAAAGACATGTACCATCATCCATTAAATAACCTCTCCAACAGATGCCTCTCAGTAATCCGAGCTCTTGGCGATTATGCTACTCAACTGGTCAGGAGCTCACCGCATTGGCAGCCATTTCATGCTCCAAGCTCGCCATCACCAACGGCGCCGTCCCGAACACACTGTTATATGACAGCGGCTGGGTAGTGTAGTACTAGCATTTAATCAGTACTTCATCCAACCATATCCGTAGAGCAGTCACGGGGTCTCAAATGTGAGAGAAGGGTGAGAACATACCTCATATGTCGGATCTTCTAACGTGCAGACACCAACTGTGCCATTCACACTCAACGTGCCGCTGTCATCCTGGACCACTCGATTCTCGAGCAGCCAACTATAGCACTTCTCCGCCGTCTGCTTGTAATCTTTTCCGCTCTCGGGGTGAACACCCGTCAGATAGCCCAGCCGCACACCCTTGAGAATGGAGTAGGTGAAAATGGCCGATCCACTCGTCTCGATATAATTGCCTTGCTCCCCTCCATGCTCCATCACCTGCCACCAACACCCCGTGGTCTCATCTACATCGTTGATGATCGTGTTTGCCAGATTGTAATACTTCTTGTAAGCGTCGTCTCGTTGCGTCTGATTCAGGAGGCCGGGGAATTCATCTGCATTGTGGAGAAGCTCCACAAGACCCATGTGGTACCATCCGAGGGCGCGATCCCAGACGTATGGGCTTGCCCCAGTAGTCTTATTCGCCCACGGGGCTGACTTGGAGGCGTCGTAGCCATGCGCCATCAGGCCGGTGTCGTGGTGACAATGGTCCTTAAATTGATTGAGGTCTTTGCTGAGGTTCTCAGCCAGGGTGGCGTTGGTGGGCTCGAAGCGGTTCTTGTACACGGCAGTAAAGGCGCCCAAGGGATAGGTCTCATCCAAATAGCTGAGGTTCGGTCGGGCGTTATAGTACCAGAAGCCGCCTGTCATTTAATTAGTTGATGGGTCGAAATAAGCCAGCCAGGTACGTCGTCTCACCCTCTGAGTTGCGTTTCCTGCCGTCGTATGCCTTTCTCAGAGCATCAAGGCCTTGCTTGTAGCTTTCGTCGCCGGACTTCTCATATCTGTAGCCGTCGTCGTGTTGTGTCAGATCAATGGTCAGGGTCTTAATAAGAATGAACCGCAGGTTCAACACTCACTGGTAGTACAGCCCATTAGCCGTGGCAAATATGTCCATGGGAGCTTCAATATCGCCAGTCACGTTCAACACTGTGGGCAGAATACTATCGGTAGCCTCTTTCAGATATGCATCCCAGTCCTCCTTTGCACATGATGCAGCATCGTAGTACTCCTTGAGATGGATAACGCTAAGTTGGAACAGTCCAAGCTTCAAGGAGAGTGCGACATCATTTTCAGTGTCAGCGTTCAACAGCGCATCTTTACGAGCGATGACACTATCGGCCAACCATGCTGAGTATGGGCGTACTCCGTTCTCGCATGTTTGTCCCACCGCTGCCACCATGGAGAGGTGACTTGCGAGCCCTGGGAGCACAAATGTGCTCAAATTTTTCATGCGAACCATATTGTGAGATGCTTTTGAAAGAGCAAAAGCCGAGAAAAGCAGGCCTGTCGGTCTGAGAAGCTTCTTATGTGATAGATGCAATTCGGATGGATTGTGTTGTTGGAGTGTGCTAGATGGGGGATATCGGCTGTCGATCAGTCAATAGTCTGGAGTAGCAAGGAGTGAAACCTGCAGCAAGACATTGAATATTAAGTCTCGCTCAATGTGAGCATTAGATCCTAGTTGGATATCTCCATCATGAAGCGCAGGGGGGAAGTGGCAGGGATGTCACATTCTCAAGTGAGACAATTAGGCAAGGTTTCCTGCCAGGCGTGAGGGAGCCTGGGGCAGCAAAGAAACATAGGCGCCATCACGAGATCGGATATTGAAAAAGAAATAACTGCTGATTTCCTCCCTTTGGCTGTCAGATCTGAAGAAATACGTTCAGCATTGTGGCTAAGACAGATTGAATGAGAAATCTATAGATCCGCATTCAAGAGCTTCCCCATCATGGCAGGCCATACTGGGCGCTCTAGGCCAGAATAAAGTAAAAACAGTTCCCAGATCAAACCCAATCGACAGTTTGTCATCTATATATAATGCTGTCTCAAGTGATCCGAGTAATGCTAACATCCGACGTTGACAGCCAGACATATGCATTGCTACTCACCTCGTTCCCAAGGGAGAAGAGTACTTCGGAGGAGGAGCTCGAATTGCCTGCGGCTCTTCGTAGCATGGTGGACTGAAGCCATTGAGTTCCGTATTCGATATTGGCTTTTCCTCTCGTCTCTTTCGCCGCTTAATGTAATAGAGCGCTCCGAGGACAACTATAAGTCCGACACCAGTCACAACACCAACCACGATACCGGCAATGGCCCCGGTGCCTAACTTCTTGGAGTGCTTTTTCGAACTGCAGTCTACATAGCCTTTTGAGCCATTTTTGGCCTTCGTGATGGTTTCCTTCACGGATTGGCAATCCAAGGAGAGGCTGCTATGGAGGCTGAAGCTGGAAAGGGATTTCAGCTTAGGAAATTTCACACTTCATCCAACGCAGTTAGCCGAGGTTAAGTTCCTGTACATGCTGTAAAACTCCGTTTAGACCGACCTTGAAATCGCTCCGTACAAGTCAATAGACGACGCCTCTTCGAAAGGAAGGTTAATGGCTAGTGAATCATCAGCATCAACCCGAAAATATCCACTCATGTTCCGCATTTCCGGCATGGAAAGACTAGTATCCTCGGGAGAAGCATTGGTTAGCCCGCATCAACCTCAAGCTCTTGGTAGAGGCAGAAACCCTCACCTGGAGATGTTCCCTCCCAAAATCATGTATGTAGGCGCACTATTGAGACGAGGAAAAGTGATGTTGATAGCTGATGCATTGGATGAGGCGCGCTGGAAGCCAGCAAATCTAGCTTCTTCCTTGATGGTTGTCAGGTTCGGCACTGCTAGTCTACACAAGCTGCTGTCAATGTTCGATTCTGGTGTATGACACGAGAGTGAAGGCAGACAGGCGCACCCCGATAAGCTTCCGGCGGTTTCTATGCTACCCACCGATTGAAGCGAAGGAAGAGAGATATATAATGGTGTGGTTGAAGACTGGTTTTTCTCGCATCTATCCTTATTGCAGATAGAAAAGTATCCAGACACATTCCGAAGTGAGTCTAAGCGCAGACTGCATTGGATGCATCAGCACACAAACAATATCGTCTCAAAATTGGAGATTGCGCAAGACAGCCCGAGCTCACCTGGAAACATCGCCAAAGATCTCCGCATATCTGACGGTTTCCAATGATCGCAAATCAACGTTCTGCACATAGTCCATTCTTAGCGCCCATCCGGCCGTCCTCAACTTCGGCGCGGACACATTTGCCAAAGTCGAAATACCCAAGAGGTACATATCGCTCCCCATGTACTCGAGATCTGGAAGGCTGATCGACGTCGGTGCAGGTACCGCGGGGGTCCCCTCCCATCCATAGCCGATCTGTCCAGTGATGTTGCGAACGTTGGGTAGGTTGAAGGAGCCGGTATAGCTTGTCGCGATCACGATGCTTCCGTTGATCGTTGTGCAATTTTTCGCGATGGTGTCCAGGACAGATTGGTCGGTCGCATTGTAGGAGTATCCGTACTCACCCAAAGGCGGGAGGCATACTTGAGCCACGGCTAGTATGACAGATCAGCACGAGTCAAGACCCTGGGAGCGAAAAGAGAGAAAGGCATTGCTACCTACTAAGTGGGAAGAAACCAAATACCAAGGCCAGTAGAAGCCTATTTAGAAAGCAAATACTCATATCAGCGAGGAAGACTGCAGAAGTAGTCCCTCAAAACAGAGACGATGAAGAGATAGATCAAGGGAAAAGGAGAGTGAGAAGCACATGCGCCATGGGGGTCTGACAGATCAAGGAAATGTTAGTCTCGTCAGACCGTGGACGCTTCGACAATCAGCCCAGTTAGCAAAATAGTTCCCCAAAATGGGCAATGTTATTCTTATCCATTGATGATGCAGCGTCGAAGCGCAAACAGTGATTGGCGGATGCTCACAAGCCAAGAGCCATGGCTCATTAATAGCTGGAATTAACGAGACAGGGTCCAGCTTCTCCATCTTCGCATGTTATCTTGACATTGACGCGTGCATAGATCTTCCGTTTTGTTGAGCGAGCTCGGCTCGAATTCAGGGTAATCAAATCGGCATAGTAGTGCATATCTATACCTCGGCAGCTGTTTCATGACATAGATAGGGTCGAAGGTCTCAGAAGAAAGAACTCTGTTTCGGCCGTAGGAGTGGGTGGGGGAAGGGGAAAGGAACTAAAGACCGGACGGAGAAGCCTTGTTATAGTGCCAGTCAACACCACGACTCCTCTTTCCGCAGGTGGTACTAATACTTGATAATTCTACTAGGAATGCCGACGAGAGGCCAAAGACAACGCTGGCTTGTGTTGAGAGAAAACTGTACGTACAAATATGGCATACTAAATCATGTCAGTCATCCTCTCACCGCAAACACATTGATCTATCTCAATCCTGTGTAATCTCCGCCGCCTTGACGGTCCTCCTGATCAAAGCTTTGAGCATTGAATCAACCTCGACACCCTTCGCAGCGTATCCAGATGGGAGGAGCCAAAGGCGACACGAAAATCCGTTCACGTTAACCGTCAGAGCCATCAAACCCAGTTGCGGAGGTCAACACAAACGCTCATGTAGCATTTCCTGCGACTCAAGAGCATTGCATCCACCAGCCATCAACACGATCAACATCTCGGGCCCGGACAGATGGCCCGGTACGCCGATTGCAATGTGGGAGGTCCGCAGCCCAAACACCCAAGTAAGTTTTTTGTTTTACTTGGGAGCCTCGCACCAACTCAATCAACCCTCACCTTCTTGTGCGATCTGTGCATCATTCGAAACCGGCACGGGTTCACCGTTGAGCTTGGCCAGGCGCTCTTCTTCCTTCTGCTCGCGGATCCGCTCCGTCTCCCGCCGCAGGGCATCCAAGTTCCACACTCCATCGGCCTCATCCTCACTCTCACTCTCACTATCATCAGCGCGCCAGTTGCCGCTTTCGAACAATGTACGTCCAGTGGCTTCCTTGGCCTTCTGAGCTTGCTCTTCAGCCGCCTTCTTGTCCAAGCGCTCCTTCTTCCACTTAGCGAACGTCTCGGGCGTTACAGGCGTTAACTCGCCAGTGAGCTTGTGGCGTTCGGACTCCAACCAATCCTCCAGTGTCAGGGTGTTAAGCGGCGACTTGTCCATCAAAGCCTTCTCCGCCGCCTTCTGCTCCTTGGTCTTCAGGACGAATCTAGCCAGATTGTCAGTTGCGCGTACAGTACTGCGGGACGGAGGAATGCAACGTACCCTGGTGGCAAGCTGTGCTTGTACATGCACTTGTCGCCTCCATTGGGGCAGGTCCAGAACCAACCATACTTCTGGTTCTCGACCGCTTCGATGAAGTATTTGCAGACCTTGTCTGTCGTGGTCCGGGGGTTTCCGTGCTTGCTCATAACGACCTTGCGCAATTTCTCCTCGTCCCAATCCTCCATGTTGTCCTTCTTCTTGGCCTCTTCCTCCGCAGACTTGACATCTCGAGAATCGGTGTACAAGTCTCTCTTGGCGGCCTTGCGCTCGAGGCTCAAGTCGTGACTGAATTTACACTTGCGGCCCTTCTCACAGTTGCCCTGCTTGTAGAAAACGCAAACAACCGTCTTCGGATCGACACCGAAAGGAACCTTCTGGACCTGTACAGGCTTGAACAGATCGGCAGCCTCCTTTCTGGCTTGCTCGGCAGCCTTCTTCTCGGCCTCACGGCGAAGCTTCTCAGCCTCCTTCTTCTTTTCATCGGCGTTCTTGTTGGAGGCCGCTTGCGCATTGAGTTGGGCGATCTGTCGTTTGGCGGAACCACCTTTTTTCTGCGAGGGAAGATACCGGTCAGCGGATTGGTCTTTTTTCTTTCTTTTTTCTTTCTGGACGATAGGTAGGCGCAACAAGGCGAAGGTTTTCATGAAAAGACTTCACGTACGTTTTTCATACCAAAGGTCTGCAAAGGAGTCGCTATAGTTAGCCTTACGACGCACGTAATGAGCATTGGGCCACGAGGGTTCAAACCTTGTCCTCGACGGTGGCCTTCTTCTTCTTAGGCTGATCGGCTTTCTTGGGAGGCATGATGGGCGGTGTTTATCTTATTGCGCTTCTTTTTGGACAACGAAGAAGAGAAGATATAAGTCGATTGCTCAGATAGAGACGTATGCGCCCTCGAATATAGAATTGGAAAGTTGGAAGGGAACTTCCACAGACAAGCCGAAACTGAAGCGGGCTGACGAAATGGGTACAGTCCGCTAAGCGGAGGGAGGGGGAGTAAAAATTACAATAGACAAGACAAAAAAAGGTGTCTCTGAATGAGAGTCGGCCTGACGTCGAAACCGGGTCAGACAAAAAAAAATCACAACGCCGTGGCTGGGAAGGATAAGAATCAACAACCGGGATGGAGGTTCAAAGGAACAAGAAGAAAGGCCGTGTTGGTGTGCAGTAGTGGTGGTTGCAGGTTCCTCCACATTTTCAAGGTGTGGGTTTCCAAGTGTGGCGGAACAACTTCACATAATCTGCCTCTCCGCCAATTGAGTTGGATAGCCAAAATGCGGTCGAACCCTCACCGGCGCATTACTTGTCGGATTTGACCACCAAAAATCTCTTCACATGGCCGACATTGAGCTGGTTTGTTATGCTCAGGAACGAGATAGGGATATTTTTACCAGCAGTTGTCCCTGGCCCGTCGATGTCCCCGATGACCTTTTGTTCTACGGTCGCAAAGCCACATTTGAAGGAGGGGCGCCATGGCGCTATTGACATCATCGATGAAAAAACTTAAGCATACTGTAGGGCTATTCGGGAAAATTACGGAGAGGAAGGTCTTCCTTTTAGCAAAAGCGCCGTTGGCTATTTCGTCATCTCATACCAATGAAGGAAAAATAATGAACTATTCGCTTCCTTTCCAACTTGTCCTTCTCTTCTGTACCTCTCTGGGCAGGCTGATAAAGCTAGCTAAACCTGTCGTTCGACTTTGTGCCGGTTAGACACACTATGAGTCGATCGAAACATTATACGATAGACCGAGCGTGATGGGCTCAATGATGCTGATTGTGATAAGTGTTCTCGTTTATGCCTCCGTTCTCCACATCCGTAAGTCGCAATGCGCGTCCCGCGAGAACTTCTCGCATTTAAGCAACCTCCTGGATCTTGGAATCCGTGTTATCGCCGGCCTCCTCGAGTTCCGGCATCTCCTCATCCTAATGGTCGTGTTAGCAAGCGCACATACAAGGTCGAGAAGGGTAATATTCAGCATACCTCATCTTCGCCCTCGCCTGCATCAGCCTCGGCGCCGCCGAGACCGGAAAGGCCACCAAGCTTGGAGAAATCAATGTTGCCAAGGCCACCGTCCATGCCTCCTTCCATGCCATTGAAGCCGCTGGCGTAGTCATCCTCGGGGGCCTCATCCTGCTCGTCCTCGTCGACCCACTAGCTCCAAGTCAGCCTGGACGGTTTCCCAGTCGAGAAGGTACAAATGGGGTCACAATACCTTGTCAAAGTCGGTCTTGAGGAAGTGAACCTTCTGAGTCGTCTTCAGCAGACGGGGCCAGTATTCCTCCTTGAGCTCCTTCTTGCGCAACACCAGCTCGACCTCACGGTCACTGTGGTTTGTCTTCGAGTTCTCAGGGTCGATCTCGGCGTAAAGGTCGAGAGAAACTTGGTATTTTACGCCCTTCTTAGACTCGCCGGAGAAAGAGACATTGGTGGGGGTGATGCTAAGGCTAGCGGCGTCGCGAGCAACATCGGAAGCCTTGATGCTCACGTAAAGGTAGTTGCGCTCAGCCTCAGTGGCCGAGGAGCGCTGGGCCCATGTAACTGAAAAGAGATAGTCAGCACATCGTTACTGCGAGATAAAGAGCTTGCGAGGAAATTGAAGGGTGTTCAACAGGGTTGGTCTCGAGTCAAGCTCAAGCCGGGGCGATTTATGACAACCGGCCACCGTGCGAGTCACGAAAACCAAGAGCGGGGAAGGTAGGAATGGGGGACAGAGCACAAGAAACACACCTTCGGGGTGAACCTGAGGAAGAGACATTATGAAAGACGGGGAGATAAGAGATATGTAAGATTGAGATGTAGAGAAAAGATGGATCGGATTGGGAAAGTCGAGAAGAGAGATTGAGTGAAAGGTGGATTCGTCTAGGTAGCAGAGCAGAGCAGAGCAGAGCAGAGCAGCAGCCGTAGCAGGTGAAATCCAGCCCGCTTCCCTCTAAGCTGACGATCGGCTCAATATGGTGCTAGAAAGTACTGGAACTCTCCCGCCCGCAGGGAGTTTGTTAGGTTTGCATTGGAACCTTCTCCGGGGCTCCTATGGAGGGTTAATTGTGGCCTGAGGCGTCCCATGCATCTATCTCGGCGACGTCACCGCATTCGGGGATGACTCAGCCGGATTTCGCCCGTATTATTCCCAGCACGCAAGCCTGGCTTGACTGAGTGCGGCAGTGCCAGGCACTCCAAAAGTGATGCGAACGACAACCTTGAACAACATCCAACCAGACAAATATAATTTATAGGTAACTGCTGTTGCTTCTGGCAGTGACGCCCTCTATGAATTGAATCTTGTCTTTTTTTCCTGCAGCCTGACCCGGCGAGACTCGCAAAAAATCTCCCTCCTATACCCCGCCCTGCTGCCAAGGTCTTCGGATAAGACTTCGAGTTCCTCCCGATAGACGCCTGTTCCACTCTTGCTCAACCCAGAACCCTCGGCCATCAACATACACCTACAGTACACCTTCACAGCATTCACTCAGCTGCGGAAACTCTGAAGATATTCTAAGATGGAGACCCTCAAGGCTGTCTTCTTCGGCCCCGATCCTCAGGCACAGGTATTGTCACATGCAGGTGTTCAAACTGGTCGTTCCATCCTGACCCCATGTTCTTGATTGTAGATGAGGAAATGCAATCAGCTCATTCGTGCCAATACCCGTCAATTAGACCGTGACATCTCTCAGCTCAAGACACTGGAAAGCAAAACACGACAGCACATCGTAAGTGCATCGCGACGAGCCCAACGCAACCCCTCCCAGGCGAAGCAGGCCAATATGGAAGCCAAGACCTTTGCGCGAGAACTTGTTCGGATCCGAAAGCAGTCAACCCGGCTACACACTAGCCGAGCCCAGCTGCAGAGCGTCCACATGCAGGTCAATGAGGCATTCTCGGTGCGCAAGATTCAAGGGAGTCTGAAGAAGTCGACGGGAATCATGAAGGATGTCAACACCCTCGTCCGTATGCCGGAACTGACGGCCACAATGCGACAATTGTCAACCGAACTGGTCCGCGCCGGGATCATTGAGGAAATGGTGGATGATGCGATTCCGAATAATGAATTGCTCGAAGACGAGGAGGACGAAGCTGAGGAGGAAGTGGACAAAGTCTTGCAGGAGATTCTCCAGGGCAAACTGTCCCAGGTGGAGGGTGTCAGGCCCGAGCAGCCTTTGGAGGAAGCGCCGGAGCCCGAGGACGAGCTCGAGGACCAAGAAGCGACTCTTGCACAAATGAGAGGAAGACTGGAAGCCCTGAAGAGCTGAAGAGACAACGCCGACTTACTCATCATGGTTTGTTATGGCTTAATGCATGTGCCTGCTCGTTATTTCTCTTTCTTTACATACTTTCAACCAGTCTTAGATGGCGTTCGATTGGACAGGGCGCGCCAGGCGTTTATTTCTTGATCTCTGCTTTATTCATTCTGATATTGGGCAGGCCCCGGCTTCTGGAGCTTCGAATACATTGCGTTGTCTTACTATACCGCGCAACACTATGGTTCGATCAATTGGCAATGTGTGTTGTATACAAATGTCATGAGATTATCCATTTGCATTATCATCGGGCCGTTGCTTCTTGTGTTCTGGTGTTTGGGCAGCAGTGAGTAGCTTTGGCATAATCAGAGTCTGAACATAATTCAAGTGCTTTCTCACGAGTCTCATTAAGTCTATCTGTTAATGAAAAGGTAGCAGATGAATTTTCCAGCCTCAGAATACTGTAAATAATTCCATTCCAATGAAGCTCGAGTTGTATCTTGAATGGGTGTGTCGCAACAATCCCCAAAGCGGGTAGCTCGAAAGACCCGATCGGGACTAGGGTGACTCAGCCTCCTCCCCTCCGCCCTTGCTTATCTTCTCCATTCATCCGCCGCCTGTGTTTCCCTTTCTTCAATCATCCATCCATCCATCCATCCCCCATCCCGTCCACATTACCTCTATCATCTTCATCATCCCGCATCCATCGCGTCCACTTGTGTGTGGTGTAAACTCTTCCACCGTCAATTTTCACTGTCAACTTATACTGTTCAGCTCGTCTTCCAGCTTCTGGACAAATCTTACCCAGAACAATCGCCTTCGCTTCCTCAAAGTCGCGAACTCAGTGGCGTAACACTCGCGACTTGCGAAAGCTATCGATCGATCTCTCATCCTTTCTTCGACAAACTCCCAATCAATTACAATCATGTCTGGCAAGTTGGACAAGTCTCTCGACGAGATTCTCGTCAGCCGCCGCCAGGGTGCTCGTCGTCGCGACCGCCGTTCGGCCCCTAAGGCCGCCGCTGCTGCTGTTCCAGTCGGTGGAGTCAAGAAGACCACCAGGACTGCTAAGCCTGCCGGCAAAGTCGCTCAGAATGGACACCCCGTCTCGCGTGAAAGTAAAATCATGGTCAGCGGCTTGGTATGTTAGATCCAAAATCTCTTGCAGGAAGCCAAAAGCTAACGCCCCCCTCCAGCCTGCCGATGTGAACGAGGCCAATATCAAGGTATGTTGATCGAAAGGCCTTTGCCTTGGGTTTCTATCGCCATGTTTCTTTTCCGAAACCTTCGATGCGCAACGGCTTCACTCGCGTTTCGATCCTTGCCACCGTCATGCATATATCGTCGTCGTGAACTGTGGATATTAGCACGGGCAGCAGTCTCCTTTGACGCTTTTGGCGCAGATATCTTCCTTCGCGCTTTGAAAGCCTAAAAAAGTCGAGCTCTGCCGTAGTCTTGCAAATGGCGCATCCAATCCAGAGCGGAGCTCTCAGTGTCCCGCCTGGATTGTCGAAGCCGCAGACTGTGCTATGGATTATCCTTCGAAGCATGCCTTCATTTTCTTTCCTCGCTTGGTCAAGCTCGAATGAAACCTCTAGTCGGGATTCTCAGGCATCAGCGAGCGCATCGGCATGCCAGCAGTACATCCAACACAACGCTTCGAGCGAGTTGTGGTCGAGCGTCATATCATACCACGTGTTATCGAGCGATGCTATCGTGCTTGGCTGGGGCACGTTACATTCTTCTTTGGACATTGTGAGAGTATTTATGGCTTGCATTTCTTGGACTAGGGTATTACGGAGGGCATCTGGGGGATCCTGAGTACACGTTTGCCGCCTTGCTGGGATCTCGCAATTCGGGGGATAAATGTGGGACATGCATGCTGGATGGATTGTCCTGTCAACTTTTTGAGGAGCCTTTTACCAGGCATCTGATGACATTACATCTTGTGAGGTTGAAACGAGTGGAGGGGCATGCTGGCCAGGGTTACAATGTTGATTGGAGATTCTACGGTGGACGAGCGAACGGCTGCCTACAGCACCGTACTCGGGGAGAGATGCGGAAGAACTATCCATGCTGACAACTAACTGCCGCTATGTGCTCGCTGATGCTTCTTGATGTCGACGTCGCTTCTGAGGCCGTTATCATGCGTCTTTCGAATTGTGTTCATGCCGATGCTTTCGCAGTTCTGCAACTGAACTTCTTGATTCGATATACTAATTCGATTTTTCCTGGTGCTATAGGAATACTTCACAAAGTCTGCAGGTCCCGTGAAGCGAGTTATGCTCACCTACAACCAGAATGGTACTAGCCGTGGAATCGCATCCATCGTCTTCAGCAAGCCCGATACAGCTGCGAAGGCTGCCAAGGACTTGAATGGCCTTCTAGTCGATGGCAGACCCATGAAGGTCAGTCTTATTGTTGCTCTCTTTATTGTTCTGCTCAAGCTCTAGGCACTGACACATACCAGATCGAGGTTGTCGTTGATGCCTCCCACGCGCCCGATGTTGCCGCTCCCAAGTCCCTTGGTGACCGTGTCGCGTAAGTATTCATCCTTTCTGTTCGTTTTTGATGGTGACTAAGTGTCAATGTGTCCAGTCAAACCAAGCCCAAGCCCAAGCCTGCTACTGCCAACAAGGCCGCTACTAATGCCCAGGGACGTGGTCGCCGTGGTGCCCGTAAGAACGGCCGCACTTCCAATCGCCCCAAGCCCAAGACCGTCGAGGAGCTTGATGCCGAGATGGTTGACTACTTCGCTACCACTGATAACACCGGCCCTGCTGAGGGTAACGCTCAGACGAACGGAGCCCCTCAGCAGCAACAGGCTGCCGCTGGTGAGGACCTTGGCATGGCTGAGATCTCTGTAAGCTTCCTTCTTCTCCTCCCGGCTTCTGTGCAACCATCGACTGATCACGTGTTCTAGTAAATGATCCACGATACACCTTCATTTGTAAAAACGATATGAAGTTGTCGTCCAAATCCTTCGTCACCTGGCCACACTCTTTGCGCACTCGGGGTCTGCCGGTTGGATTCGAGTCGAATTCCCCTTAACACTTTTATCCCTTTCCTCTTTTTTTCCTCCACTTTTGCTGTATTTCGGACTCATGTTACTCGCGGTCTGCTTTTTTTCTTTGCCTCCACCTCGCCCTCGTCTTACCCCTTTGTCCATTTTATTTTTACTTTTTTTTCAATGCGTCCAGGACTCGTCAGTGGTGGGAAGATCGGGTCTGTTATCTGTATCTAATAAAGAAAGTTGTGGTCTCAATGCATCTCCTCGCAAGTTCTTTTACTCTGTACGCTTTAGAGTCGTCGTGCGGGCAGTTTCCTTGGCATCTTCAACCCACACTGTACTGTACAATAGTGCCTTTCTTGTATCGCGAAGCCTCACTGCGACAGTCATCATCAAAGATAAAATCCCCAACCAATGGAACAAAATACGTTGAACTACCAATATATACCTGAACGAAGAAAAGCCACCTATCCTGTACTATACACAGGCCAGTCATCTCCCCATTTCCCCGATCCCCAGCCACGTCTTTTACATATTTACTTTCGTTATTGACCACTCTCAGCTCCAGGTGCCATTCGCGGGCCCGAAATACCCGGCGGCCGGCATCTCCTTCCACGGGACCCCGTCCCCGTCCGCCGTGTTGAGGTAGACATTGTTGCCCCACCAGTCGGGGAACACGGCGCCCGGGTAGGAGATGCAGAAGAAGATGACGATGCCGCTGAGGGCGAGGCCGGTGTCCAGCGCCGCGGCGAGGATGTAGTTGTACTTGGTCCACCAGGCGAAGAAGCGGCGTTTGATGAGGTGGTTGAAGATGAAGTTGACGAGGGCCCAGCTGGAGTAGTTGATTCCGGTTGCTGTGGGGTTGGAAGAGTAGATGATTAGTGTGCGACAAGAAAAGAAAGGAGTAGGAAAAGGGGGAGAGGTGATGAGTGGGCAACTTGAAGTTCGGGGGATTGAGGAGAGAAAGGGGAGACTAACCTGGTGGGACGTTGTAGGTGCCCACAAAAATGAGGGGCCAGTTGACAAGCTTCCAGAAGCGGTTGCGGGTGTACTTATACAAGACGTATGTGATGAGCGGGGCGATGGCCCCGATCCAGAAGAAATGCAGCAAGGATGAATAGATCTTGCCGACGGAGTAGAGACGACGCGGGCCGACAAGACCCCAGATCACCGAGGAAGAGTAGACGGTGCGGCCGTTGGGGCAGGTGAATCCGTCCGCTTGATCGGAGGAACAGATATCTTTGATGTTGCCGAGCATCCAGATGGTGACGCCAGCTTGCGTCAAGGCCCCGAGGATGGTGGCTAGTCCTTGGGCCATGAAGAGGGTCCGCGGGGGGATTTTCAGATAGTGGCCCAATTTCATGTCCATGGCGAAGTAGACGCCTTGACCTACCACATCGGTGCTCAGAATTTTGAACAGCATGTTGGCAAGGGGCTTGCCCTCGAACATGTAGCCGCCAACAAACTCAGCCAGGACATTTAGTTGATTGGCGTCTACGTTAGTGATGCCCTGTATGATGCCACAGGGGATCATGTAGATTGCTGGGACGATGAGAGCAAGAAACACGCCATACACGGGGAGCTTCGTATGGTAGACTTCAACCACGACGATTGCGATAGCTGTGATCACCGCTATGATGGCTGCGTACCAGTACCATGGGGTGTTCTTGTAGTTCTTCATCAGACGGGCATGGATGTCCAGCTTGTTCTTTCCTTTGAGAGCAGCCCAGATCTCCCTGCTATGCCACACTCCGATGTGAGTCAGGACTGCGGTGATGGATGCAAACGACAGCCCGTAGACAAATGCGTACGTGGCTGGGAGATACGGAGGAGAATAGTTCTTGTATGCCTCAACATCCAGGGTGTTTTGCGAGCTGATAACGCGGGTGGTGTTGTATTCTGCACCCGTTCTGTCGTAGACGTCGGCTGTCATGAGAGGAAGGTAAGCTGTGTACCATGTGTTAGAGTAGTAGATGCCCGGCACGACGATCCAAAAGAAGACCGCAAATCCAGCAAAGACGTTGATTGCAGCCCAGGCTGGCGAAAGCAGAGGGTTGGTGTTGTACGCGACCTGGCTCCAGTCGAAAGTGATAGGGCTCAGTCCCAGGCCGGTTTGCATGCCGAAAAGCTGGTTTACAATCTTGTTCCGAGGTGCGATCCAACACACCCAGGTGAAGTATGAGAGAGCAGTGAACATGAGCCCTGGGAAAAAGTACCATACGAAGCCAGCTGCGGTGACATAGAGGAAGAACCGGAGGCGGGAGATCTTCCAGCCGTTGGCGACGCTATTTGCACGCGAATGAAGCGTTTCGAGCATCGCGCAATTCGATAGAACCTGTGGCCAGACGATTCTCGCTGGCTCAACGAGCCATGGAGCAGCGAGTCCGGCGACCCCAAATCCCAGGAGCTGTGCGCAAAGGACGACCAGGACTGAGAAGCCAGCCGACAGACCAAAATTATAGAACTGGGAGCTAGACGCCTGAATAATGTTGGTAGAGTCCGCACTCCCATAGCCGAACGAGACATTGCTCATGATCACGATCAGTGCGTGCTCCTTGATATTGAACTGGCGGTCTGGGTTGAGAGAGAAGCTGCCCAATGGTCCGAGACTTATAGTCCACATCGGCAAGACTTTAGCCAGGAAGACACCACAGGGATAAGCCAGCAGCTCTGCCACCAAGGATACGATATGTACCGACGGATAACGTAGCGAGAAAAATTGGTTGATACCAGAGCCCACCATTGTGAATATGAAGCCAAGGAGCCACATTCGGAATGTGCTGACGGGCATACTTGGGTCGTCTGTCTCAGGTACAACAGCGCGCACTGTATGGTACTCATGTTAGATATCGCCCAACCTGACATATGATGTCTTGGGTCATTCACGAACCCTCGGGGAAAGGTGAGTGTTCCGACTCATAGTCATAGACTTCCTTGTCGGCCAAGTCATCCTCCTTTGTATGCAACTCATCAAGGCGACCTTGCTCTACCTCCTGGTCGGCTGTGCTGTAAGGTGACTTGGAGGATTTCTCAATCTCGATCAGGTCCTCGGATGCCATCTTGGGGGACGAACGGCTGTGACCAGCACTTGGTGACGCGGAAGGGAAGACGAGGGAGAAAAGCAGCCATGGCAGAGCCACAAACAAGATTTGGCGGTCTTTAAGAAACTTTGACCATAGTCGCCTTAGCCTGCTTCTTATCGCCACATCTGCTGACACTTTGTGGCCGACTAGTGTCTAGCCCAGGGTGTGAACGACCGATAGGCATGGGTGAAGTCTATCTGGTGCAGATAACAGCCGTGCTAGCCCTATGCTAAGAGATAGGGGTGGCGGCGATGGGCTGATTGGCGGTTTGGAGCGTTGCATGATGAGAATAATGAAACAGTTCGAAGTACTCGGAAAGGACAAGAGACAGAAAGTTATGCACCGTGCTAATCAACACTGTGGTGGCAGAAAGAGGAAGAGAATTGTAGACATGTCTCTTGGAGGATGCCGAAAGGAAGAAGTGCGGTCTGATAACAAAACGCGGGGAAAAGTCTCAATTGGGTAAGAACGCGGGACACAGTAGATGCAGAGGCAGAGATAAGTTATGCTTACAATTTGCTACGGGACTAAACACGTAATCACTACTTCTCTTCGCTCGAGCAGACTCACCAAGAGCTTCCATTCCACATCAATTACATTCTGATTACCCGAAGGAAGGAAATACGGTGCGAATTAAATTATCATGATGATTTTGGTACAAGACAACCCACCTTCCCACAAAGCAGCAATGACCTCAAGCTAACTTTGTCTCTAATCCAGATCTCTTGATAACATATAGGTTATCAAGAGAGTCTAAAGCCTCTCTCAGACCCCAGACAACACAACACAGCGCCAACAGCGTATCATCCTGAATGGGGCAACCAGCTCACATATCATACCACCCCGAGACTGCCATAGAAGCACTCACTGGGCCTCTTGAACTGACAGCTGCTGCGGAGGCTGGATCTGATAGCGTGCCAGAAGAGAGTATAGAGCATTGTGCACAGGGAGACCTGAGTAGGTAATACGAATGCGACCATGGCGACCTCGTACATCCCTGACATTGTCGTGGACCCAATGGATCGGATATCTCTGTGAGCAGTCAGTCAAATTTTCTCTTTCAACGAGAATAGATGCAGAGCAAGGCATTACGTACACCGGTCGTGCTATCGGCGATCCAAAGCAAAGTCAGCTCCTTCAAGACCGGGAACTCGCGCATCAGACTCTCCAGAACCGTCTCCCAGAGCCCAGCGTCAAAGCGAACAGTTCTCAATTCCAGGATGCGCAGAGAGTTTCTGTTGGTGAGAAGAAAGCTCTGCAGGTCCTGACCCGAGATACCCACCACGCCTGACAGTTTGAACACCTCCAGCTTCATGTTATTGCCCTCTTGTCCCAGAAGTTGGAACAAGGCGTCGACCCCTTCGCCTCCACCACAGTCCAAGTCTAGCTTCTTCAGATTGGGCGCCTGATCAATGAGCTCGTAAACAAGGTCGGCCAGAAGAGCGTCTTTCACCTGCGCAAGTAGGCACAGCTCGGTAAGGGTGGACCAGCAAAGGCCGAAGCGGACAAGATGAAAGGTGTGGGGGCAGAATCTCCTGGGGTCGATGACCCCTGCGGAATGTTTGTCGAAGTCCGGGTAGGAGCAGCTGAATGACTCGATGGGTCTTGCCATGCTCGGGATGAGATGCAGCACGAGTGTCACTGCATCACTGGGGCTGAGACAGTCGGTCCAGGTACCCGATTCGGGCTGATTGGACAAGGAGATATGGAACGATTGGCAATTCGGGAACTTCTTCAAGACGGCCCTCAACTTCAAGAATCCATTTGAAGAATGGAGGAAGTTGAGATACTCATTCTCCAAGATGTCACGACACCATATGAAACCGTAGCCAATAGTGTTCCCAGTAGCGCTGCCGATGGATATCTTCTTGACATGCTGGTTCAAGCCACAGGTCTCGGCGAGTTCGTCCATGGCAAGCAGGTTCAACTTGGAGAGATCTGTGTGTAGCGTATGAAGGCCAATCCGTCCGAATTGATACTTGGTTGCGCGCTCGAGGGTTGAGCATGTCAAGCGCACCGCGCACAAAGCAGGCTTGTCCATGAAGGAAGCAATTAGGTCCATCAGTTCCGTGGGCAGTCCGCAGAGTTGATGCTTCTTTTTGTCCTCAGACGCGTTGTGAACCCTAAGATCTGTGTTTCGAGCTATTGATGAAGAGTCATGAGCCACCGTGCCTATATTCTTCGAAAAGACGGACTTACTCTTGGCCAAAAAGGGCGAAATAATCTTACGAAGCCGCATGTTGAGGTCTTTTGAAGGAGTTACACTCCCTTTGTGCCCACTGATAGGGATTCGTTCTAATCACTACCTTTGTTAGTGACCGGTGGGTGTAGGGGTAATATCGATGGTATTGGTGAAAGAGATGAGAAGCAACGTGCATCAAAGACCTATGAGGTGCTTGCAGGTTTGCCTTTTAGGAACAGTACTGTGGAAGATCAAACCTTTATCGATGCCAGGTATGACCTCGATGAAACTGTTGTTAGGATGTTAGGAAGTGACGCGGGGAAGAGAGGAATCATATCACAGTTGACAATCTAAGATAGACCTACCTTCTCAGTATGGGAGTGTGGTACATACGGCTTAGTGAATGAAGACGTTACTTAGGAGCCGCCTCAAGCTAATTCCTATCACTTCACACTTCGAAGGTTGATATCTAATTCACTGCGAGAGATGTATGAGGATGAAAAGTTCAGTCCCGCTGAAAAACTGCATCAAAATTTCTTATCCTATGTGCTACTCTATCACTTTCCCTGCTGGCTTGCAAGCCACGCTTCGTGGGCTTTCTTTTGACGCTCCCAGTCTTTCCTCAACTTCTTGCCCCGGCTCTTCGCGAGCGGTTCGCCAGCAGCATCCTTGGTCGGCATACCCTCCTCATCCCAGGCGCTGAATTCGCTAGTCTTGAACATCTCGAGGTGACTAAGCTTTCCCTTCTCAAGCTTTTCTTGAGCAAGGCGTTCCTTCTTCTCCTTTTCTTGCTGCTTCTGCAAAGCCTTGCGCGCCTGCTCTTCACGAGCCTGCAGCAGGTCTTTGGTGACAGGGCGGACGAGAGCCGGCTTGTTCTCGCGGTCCTCAAGGTAGATACCAAGGTTGAAAAGGTCCACATCACGCAAACGGTCACAGAGGGAAAGAATCTCCTTCGAAGAGCTCTTGGAGTCCTCAAGGCTCAACGATGCGAGCTGGGAGCTGAAAGACTCCAGAGCTTGGGAGTATGGCTTGGCGGCTTCGGTTGTGTCTGCATCTTTCACTGCTGCTGCGCCGATGATCTCCTTGACCTTGTCTGATGTGATCTGGTTTCCGGACATGGCAGCCTGGCGCAAAGAGTCACGCATGGCGGAAAGTGGGTACAAGTACTGCTTTGCCACCTCAGGAACATCGGTACCCTCCCAGCCGATTTCACACTTGCCCACCGGGGTAGCCCCGTTCAGACCGAAAATGGTCACAATCCGTGTCACCCACTTGGCAGTGGATTCAATGGCCTGGGGCTCCAGCGTCTGGATATCAAGCGAGTTGAAAGTGGTAATCAGTTCAGAGATAGCAGCCATAACTCTGGGGGTATCAAAGGAATCGCAGAAGTGTTCATCGACCTTGTCTTGGGTGGACTTGAGGGCCTGTGTCAATGTTTCGGTAGATGCCGCATCGGTAGCGGAAGTCTGGTATGTGGAAGGATCCTTGACTTTAACAAAGAAGTTGTTGACCTTCTCTTCCCATGACGAGGCGCTCTTGACCAGCTCATCCGTGATCTCGACTCCGTCGCGCCAGCCACCCAGCAGGAAAACGATTCTCAGACTGCGAGCAGTGTAATCACCTCGCTTAAGCGCGTCACTGATGGTAGTGAAGTTCTTCAAGGACTTGGACATCTTAGAGCCTGCAATGGAAAGGTGGCCCATGTGCAGGAAGTAGTTGACCCACTGGTGCTTGTGCTCGTGCCAGTAGGCTTCACTCTGAGCAAGCTCGTTATCATGGTGGGGGAAAGCAAGGTCAATGCCACCCGAGTGGATATCGATCTGGCTTCCTAAGCAGCTCGATGCCATAGCAGAGCACTCGATGTGCCACCCGGGTCTTCCTTGACCCCACTTGCTGGACCAACTAGGCTCACCAGGTCGAGACGACTTCCAGAGAGCGAAGTCGTCGGGCGACTTCTTCTCGGTTGCCCGGGACAGAGCACCTTCGCCGTCTCTCTGCAGAGGTTGGTTGTTTCTGTTCCACGGCTCCAGTCGGGCATAGTGGTTGCCGGCTTCTTCGAACGCTTTAATGTCGAAGTAAACAGAGCCGTCCGAGGCCACATACCCAAACTTATTCGAAACAATCTTTTCGACAAAGTCCGCAATCTGTGGGCCATACTCGGTAACTCTTGTGATCTCATCGGGATCGAGAACGTTCAGATCTCTCATATCGCGCATAAAGTGGTTTTCGTATTTCTTCGTGAGCTTCGTGAAGATTTCGTACGCATCGCCGGGAATCGTGGATCCTTGGGTGATGTCAAGGTAGTAGCAGAACACATCCTGTGTGGCGTCGTAGAAAGCCTGGCTCGGTGTCTCGGGCTTCTTCGCGGCATCCGCGATGGCTGAAGATGACGCCGTCGCGGTCTTAACGTGCATCTTGATCTTGGTTTCCGCATCTCCCGGCTTCTTATCTGCCTCCAACGAGCCGCCCTTGAGGACCACTCCATAAACCTTGTCGACTTCCGCAGTAAAATCTTCAGGCTTCGTGTCCGGGCTGATCAGAGGGAGGTTCTTCTTGATGTAGGCGCTGTATGCCGATCGGGCAGTCTCGAGGACTTCGGGGGTAATAGTCGGATGTTCCGTGATATACTTGTTGAATAGATGTTGTTGTCTACCGCGAAGGATGATCTGTGGCCATCAGTCACGCCAATCCTTCAAGCATCCTTCCTACCGCGGTGGCTCATACCTTGTCGTCAACATCGGTGATGTTCATAACAAATTGCACGTCATAGTTGAAGTAGTCCTTAAGGATACGTCGTAGGATATCGGTGCTGACATAGTTTCGCGCGTGGCCGAGGTGCGCATCGTCGTAAACAGTTGGGCCGCAAGCATACCACTTGACCTTACGTCCTTCGGGATCCAAGGGCACGAAAGGAGTCTTGGATCTGGTCAAAGAGTTCCATACTTTGAGAGGAGGGAGACGGGCGTCGGGGCGCGCGGGCGGCTGCTGCCACGGAGGTTGTTGGCGACTTTCCATCCTGAACGACCGACTGAAACGCCGTAAGAAGAACTGGGAATTGACAACGAGGGGTATTCGTGATGGTGGCATAATATAATTGCTGGAAGATTTTAGCACCTCGCTGGATTATGCGCTCCAAACTCTCTCACCGCCGACCACCCCGCTCTGCGCTAGTGCAAATCGGGCAGATTGACTCATCAAGAAGGCACGCCTGCCTAAAAGAGTAATATACATGTGATCAGTGCCAGGCTCACTTACGTCCTATCCAAGATGCAATCATCAATGACTCAAAGCAACCTTCTACAGCGAGTCGACTCATTGGTACAACAGAGAACAACAGAGACACGAGACATTATCACCTTTGTACCACCCATTTTGAATGACTGCAGAGCCACCACCAATCACACTCATCCATGAGGGAATGAACCCAGCACTTATGAATGAGGCTGTGAGCAACAGACATGGACTTGAACATGGAGTATTCCCAAGGACAGCTCAACGGACCAATGCATTATAGTCATACTGAGGTTCAATCGAATCACTCTAGACGTTGGAAAACAGATAGTTCGGTGCATGGGATGAGTTCCGTCCATTGAACAGGATCTGTGTCACCCTCGACTGACAAAAAACAATGCTCATTGTCTGTCAGACATGTATGGATTGCGGACGCAGATAGATGCACGTAAGCCAGCCGGCATTGCGTTGGTCATGACGTGGGCACCAATGACTTTTAGATGTCTAAGACATGCTTGCGTCCATCTGGGGCGGCTAGATTCAGCATTGCTCCGAGATACGGTAGCAATTTCCGATATCCTTGCTACCTCGTCATCAGATGGATTCCAGCCTCAGCAACTGCTGGTAGACCGGTGATACCGAAAGAGCACCTATGCCTCAAGTCTCTTTTCCGTTTGTCCATGTTACTGTTTTGCGTCTATTGGCAATCGATGCCTGGTCCTTGAAGCATAGCATTGCATCCACAAACTGTCGGCATAGTCATCAGGGCTCGCTTAAGAATGGTTCTTAAGCTTGTCACAGACATGGGGGCCACTCTTGAAACCATTGCAGCACGACACTCGAGAGTATGATTCACGCCCTTAGAGCAAAAGCATGCTGCTCTCGTGTAATCTACGAGACGGAAAATCATCTGGATGGTAGCTTCGAATCATATTACAGAAGATACTATCTCATTTGACGCTGTCAGCGAACATCGGCAAGGCCTGACTGTCAGATGACGACAGTTATATACAGATTTCACTACGCACCGCACTACCTTCTCATCCTCGCATACTCAGAAAGGCGAGACTCCGTAAACTCCCAGCACCTTCCCTACATCAGCATCTCTCTCTCCCTTGACCACCGTAGCCACTCTCTGGCCTCCTTCTGAGGGGTCTGCAGCATTTCTCTTCCGCAGAGACTCGGGATCGCCGGTCAAATTCGTGGCACACAACCCTGGGTCGGCTCCAAACACTTTGAATCCCTCAGCCTTCAGCCGTGTCCAGTACAAGACCATCATCATATTCAATGCAGCCTTGCTCGAGCGATATTCAATTCCTCGCGGGTTGTAGTATGGGGACTCGGGCTCAGCAGCATGGGTGATTGACCCGGTGCTTGAACTGACAAAAATGAGTCGCTTCTCGGACGACCGTCGCAGCAGGTCCAGAAAGGCCTCCGTGGTGCTCAGCGCCCCGACTAGATTCACGTCCAAAACCTTTCGGTAGGATTCGCGGGACGGCGGCTCATTCAGAATTGCGATGCCGGCGTTGTTGACTAGGATATCGAGTCGGCCGTACTTCTTCTGAACATATACGGCGGCCTCGTCAACGGACTTGTCGTCCGTCACATCGATCTGAATAGTGGACACGGTTCCCTTGATCGCGGGGAGGGTACGGAGGGCTTGAGCGGCCTCTTCGCCTTTGGCTGGATCGCGAGAGCCTAAAAGAATGTGATAGTCATGACTCGAGATAAGAAGGTTCTTGGCCGTCTCGAAACCGACCCCTTGATTTGCACCTAGACTTGCGCTGAGACAGGAGTGCTGGTTCGTTCAAGGTCAAACTTGCCAT